CCTCAATGGCGTGCCACAAAGGCCATTCTCCGAGCCCACGGAAGAATCTCCGAAGCAGCGCTCTGCGCCGAAATCCACGTCGAGCAGCAAGACATGGACCTGCAAGAAGAACGACACAAGAAGAAGACATCAGCACCAGAATTTGCATTCCACACTCAGCGACGCTACAACAACAACAAACAACAACAACCGAAGCCCGTACCTCCGTTCTGCCACATCTGCAAGACGTCAGGGCACCCGCGCACGCACTGCCCGAATCGACAACAGTCAACGCCTTCACAGCGGCAGCTTCGACCTTCAAGCAATCAAGTCGCCTCAACACAAGCAAATCCCACGACCCAGATTCAAGCCTCAACGACCTCAACAGGACAACCTGCACAAGGAGCAAGGAACATCGTCAGTTGCATGGCAAGACTGAGCGACTCCTGCATCACGGAATCACCACCGTACTACTCACCGGAAGAACAACTCGACGACACCACACCTCACCGCGATTCACTTCAGCCGAACCCGACATACGCAGCCATCGCCCAAAGCGAGCCATCCGGGAAGGACACGTGGTTCTTGGACAGTTGCTGCGGACAACACATGTGTTCTTCGGGACGCTTCGTGCAACGAGAGTACCAACTTCAACGCGAAGTAGTCATCACCGTCGCCAACAACGAAAACCTGCGCACACGACGACAAGGAGTCGTTCAACTTCAGTCACGAGAGACAAACGTCATACTACAAATGTCCAAGGTCTTAATCGCAGAAGGCCTCGGCTACAACTTACTCAGCGTTAGCCAACTGATGGCTAAAGGTAACCATCTTGAAGCAGACAGCACCACTCAGGAGTTCAAGCTGTACCACGGGAAGGGCGGCCTCTACATCGGAAAGGCGATCTTGAAAAATAACGTCTTCGTTCTTGATTTTGTTCCAGATCTCGGCACAGCAGACAGCGACGGCATCGTCACCTTCACTTCCTGGACCCACCCTCCAGATCTTGATCCAGACTTCAGCCCCGGCGGCTTCTGGCATTCACACACCATCCCTGAGGCAGAAAGAACAAGGGCGTTAGCAACAATTCAACACTCGGCAGCAGCAGAGACAACATCGGAAGCAGCAGAGACAACATCGGAAGCAGCAGAGACAACATCGGCAGCAGCAGAAACAACATCGGCAGCAGCAGAGACATCAACGGCAGCAGCAGGAACGTCAACACCAGTCGCTGGTCCTTCAATGGCACCACTCATCGTCGACGACACACCACCGACACCCGCGCAACAACTACACCCAGCACCACGAGAAGTTCATCGAAGCGCCAACTTCACCGCCAGCTTCTACTCCAGCTCCGATATGTATCGGCGCTCACCCGGACATCGTGCAACCGAAGGAACCTGGCACGCAAGAATGGGACACCCAAGCAACACGGTGTTAAACAACACGATAAGAGCAGGCGTGCTCGATAAAGACTCTCTACTCCTAACTGACGGCAGAGAACTTCAGCGAGCTCGAGGAACATGCTTCACCTGTCCCGAAGCTGACTTACCGCATCAACCGTTCGCGTCTCACCACAACCCAAGCGCACCAGCTTACGCGCCACTCGAGAAGGTGTACAGCGACATCTTGTACAACCGCGAGCCTGGACAAAACGCGTACAACTACACCATCACCTTCATCGACGCCGCCACACGATACGTCTGGCATCTAAACCTTCCGAGCAAAGACATGGCCTTCGAAGCCTTCATCGCGTGGCTCCCAGTAGCAGAGCGAGAATCGGGCGTCAAACTGAAGAGCTTCCAGTCAGACGGGGGAGGAGAATACACCTCACAGAGGTTCAAGCAGTACTTGGCTGAAAGGGGAATCAAGCGGCTCATCTCCCTTCCCTACGCCCATCAACAGCAAGGTGTAGCAGAAAGGATGAACAGGACCCTCCAGAACACCATGCGCAAGCTGCTACGTGGCATGCACCTGCCCAACCACCAGTGGCCCGAAGCAATGGACCACGCCGTCATGCTGCACAACTTGCTCTCGTCATCATCGCTCCCGAACAACGCATCACCGCACCTGCTGTGGACAGGAAAGCAGGGCAGCACAAAAATGTTAAGAGTCTTCGGCTGCATGGTACAGTACCGGCCCCCATCTGCACGAGCCGGCCGATTCTCCCAACGCGCACAGTGGGGGCTACACCTGGGCATCGAAAAGCATTACAACGCATGGAAAATTTTCGACGTCGAGACAAAAGAGACAGTGGCAGCACGTGACGTCATTTTCTACGAAAACCTCACCCTCCGGTATTACCTTGCCAACTTGCAAGAAGGAAACCCCGATCGCTCCGATGGTTTTCTTGGCACCCGAGCCTTCGCCTCGGCAGACGACGAAGCTGACTGGGATGAGCAGAACGTGGAAGGAGCCTCGGAAGAAGCCGGACCCCTCCCCTACTGCTCCGTCGACGTGCCAATGGACGACGAAAACCTACGCGAAAGCATCAACGCCGAAGCCTATTACCATTTCGCTGACAACGGTTACGTTACACCTGCACAAGTCAACACCGACGAAGCAGAACGCGTAGGACCTAATTTCGCACCTGATCCAGAAGCGGGAGACGAAGCAGTTTATCCCGAGGACACTTCACTCCCCCGCTACACACAGAGTGGACTCCAAATCCTTGGCCTCGTCACCGCAGTTCACATCGCAGCCATTCCTAAAGAGCATGCGACAGTTCAACAGGCTCTGGGGGGGGGAACATAAAGAAAAATGGCGCGAAGCCATGGACAGGGAGCTAAAGGCACTGGAGGAACGCAACACCTGGAAGGTCATCCCTATCGGCGTAGCACGGAACAAAACAGTACTCACCGGGAAGTGGGTCTTCCGTGTGAAGACAAAGGCTGACGGCACCATCGACAAGTTTAAAGCTCGCTGGGTCGTACGCGGCTTCGACCAAGAACACGGACGCGATTTCACCGAAACATTCGCTCCGGTCAGTCGACACACTTCACTCCGAATCCTCCTCGCGATCGCCGCCATGAAGAAGAAGAAGCTGCGACAAATCGACGTCGCGAACGCATTCCTCTACGCACTTGGTGACGCAGAAATCTTCGTCGAATTGCCGCACGGCTCCAACGGTGAGCCCAATCAAGTCTGTCAGCTGCTGAAGTCGCTCTACGGCATCAAGCAAGCTCCGCGGCTATGGCAACAATACCTGCACGCTCGCCTCATTCGCATCGGCTTCAAACAACTACCGCACGATCAGGGCATGTACCGGCTCACGAAGGGCATCGACTACATCCTGTTAATCGTCTACGTAGACGATCTACTCTTCATCGGCTCGACCGACGGCGTCACAACCTGGTTCGAAGGGGAGCTGCAGAAGGACCTCACGCTCACGGTCTCATCTACCGTCACACAGTACCTCGGTCTCAACATCCGAGAAGAGGAAGACGCAATCTACCTCAGTGCCGCGAAATACAACGACACCATCGCCAAGCGCTTCGCACTCACACCGACCGCCATCTCCACACCGTACCGCTACACGACAGGAAACAGCAAGGGAAGCTCCGCTCTACTTAAGCCCGCCGGCATACGCGACTACCAGAGGAAACTGGGATGCCTCCTTTTCGCAGCTGTCACCTGCCGCCCGGACCTATCGTACTGTGCAAGTCAGCTCGCCACCTACCTCAAGAAGCCTGAAGCGGAACATCTAGCAGAGCTCGACCGCGCTCTTCACTACCTCGTCAGCACCCCGACGATCGGCCTAACTTACTATAAGAACGCAACTACACCGCCCAAGTTAATCGGCTACGTCGACGCCGATCACGCTGGCGACTCCGACAACAGGCGCTCCCGCACCGGTTACATCTACCGCCTCGAACCTATCGGACCTATCTCTTGGCAGTCGAGCAAGCAGGAATTAATCGCCCTCTCGTCAGCTGAAGCAGAATATATTGCACTCTGTTCAGCCACCAAGGAAGGACTTTACCTTCGCGAACTGCTGGAAGAAGCGAAGCTGGCTCAGTTACCCAGCTTCACTCTGTTCTGCGACAACCAGTCGGCAATTCGCATCGCCAACAAGAACGGCTTCGCGAACAGGACGAAACACATCGCCTTGCGATATTTCTTCGTGAAGGACGAGATCGAGAAAGGGAGGCTCGAGCTGTCATACTGCCCCACGTCCGAGATGGCAGCTGACTACTTGACCAAGAAGCTCGGAAAGCAGAAGTTCGAGTACTGCATGCTGCTGACTGGACAGAGCCACGTCACCAGCAGCGACACTCCAGAAGCGAAGGGGAGTGTTGGAAACAATCGATCTTAAGCGCCTCTGTCGTGTCGAAACACTAAAGCACAAACGAAGCGAAGCATATCGAAGCACCGGCGAGTCAACCCTCGGAGGTTGAAAGTAACTGTTGGAGGTTACGCGAAAGTCAAAGGTCAGCGACCTTTGACCTGACAAAATACAGCGCGACAGCAAGGACACACAACTGACTCGCTACAGAGCAGTTGCTCGGGTCGTCACTGTATCGAACCGCAACAGCAACAGTAAAACAGATATAACTGTACCCCTTCATATTCCTTGTACTCTTATATAATCTTGTTTCCCTTTGCTCTAATCAATCCACTTTGCCCTCACATACTATCGCAGCGATTTCAAGCTGGCACGGCCTTCACTATTTTATATTTCGGTTTTAAAAGCTTCCGCTATTACATTATCCCTACCCGAAATTCACCCTTGAAAAGATCCTAAGGGCTATTTTCTCAGCCCAACATTAATTACTTGTTTCCAATCCAACACCTGTGTAAGGGTTGGTTGTACGGTGGTGGGTCAAGCGAAAGTTTTGTACGCTTCGCTGGGAAATCCGTACAGTACAGGGTTATGAATTAGGCACCCTTGATGACGCAAGATCTTATTTCACTGAGAAGAGAGTTTATGTTTTAGTGCTTACGGTACTTTATTTTCATGTCACATAGGTACATTTACTAGATATAGCACCAGCAACCATGCCCTTCGGATCCCCACTCGTTCACATCTTCTCCTTGAGTAGCCTTTCCACATCTATCGATTTTAACGCCTTGTACTTCCCCACTCCCAAGTCTCTCGGCAACCGCAGCGATCCAATCCTAACTCTCTTCAACCCTAGCACCTCCAGACCAGCAGCTTCGGCAAGCCTCCGAACCTCCCTGTTCCTCCCCTCGGCCACCACCACCCGCACCCGTTCCCTCCCCTTCCCTCCGCTTCCTCCTCCTCCTTTATTGTCACTATCCGTTACAAGGTCGAGGGCTACGGGTGTGCAGAGCACACCATCAACATCCGTCCCTGCTGCCATGGTTGCCAGCTGGCGCTTGGTGACTGGCCCCTGAACCGTGAGAACGTACCTGCACAAAACCAGGAGCGGCGTTTAAATGAACAAGTTAATCCAGTAAAAAAAAGGAGGGGGTGCTGGGGAGATGACAAAAAGAGTCAGAAGGTATGAAGACAAGAAGGTCTGTGCAGGCACAATGCAAGGGACAAGGGACAAGGGACAAGGGACAAGGGACAAGGGACAAGGGACAAGGGACAAGGGGCAAGGGGCAAGGGGCAAGGGGCAAGGGGCAAGGGGCAAGGGACAAGGGGCAAGGGACAAGGGAAAAGGGGCAAGGGAAAAGGGAAAAGGGGCAAGGGACAAGAGGACGGATAGAGATGTGCTGAGGTGATCAGAATTAGGAATATGAGAGAGAGAGGTTAAATGCAGGGATAGGATCTGTGGGAGACGCGAGGGAGGGGAGGGGAGGGGAGGGGAGGGGAAAGGAGGGGAGGGGAGGGGAGGGGAGGGGATGGGATGGGGAGGAGAGCGAGCGGAGGGGAGGGAGGGGAGGGGAGGGGAGGGGAGGGGAGGGGAGGGGAGGGGAGGGGAGGGGAGGAGAGGGGAGGGGAGGGGAAAGGAGGGGAGGGGAGGGGAGGGGAGGGGATGGGATGGGAGGGGAGGGGAGGGGAAGGGAGGGGAGGGGAGGGGAGGGGAGGGGAGGGGAGGGGAGGGGAGGGGAAAGGAGGGGAGGGGAGGGGAGGGGAGGGGATGGGAGGGGAGGGGAGGGGAGGGGAGGGGAGGGGAGGGGAGGGGAGGGGAGGGGAGGGGAGGGGAGGGGAGGGGATGGGAGGAGAGCGAGCGGAGGGGAGGGAGGGGAGGGGATGGGAGGAATTGAAGGCGGGCTGGAAAAAAGAGGAGGGAACCAGGAGAAAGGTGGGAAAGAACGGCAGGATTATGTTGGTATGGGCGGATTGTGTGCACTGAAAGCAATACACACATAGCGAAAACGAAAAGAGAGAAACCCGAAGCCCCCAAACGCACTCTTTGGTAAGTCCAGCTGAGGGATGTGCGATCTGCTGCGCGAAATTCCCGTCGTTGGTAACCAGCAGCAGCCCTGTCGTCTGCACGTCCAGCCTCCCCACAGTGAACAGCCGTGGCCTGGGGATTCCCGGATTTCTCTTCTCCCAAACCTTCAAATATTCCTCCACCAGACTAATCGCCGTCTTCTCAATACCGCCACCGCCGCCGCCGCTGCCGCCGCTGCTGCTGTCGCTCGACTCATCCCTAAACCCTGAACCCTCAACCCTCTCAGGTCTACTTTTCCCTCCGCTGCTTCTCTCGCGGCCAGAGGGTTTAGGCGACTGAGGGGAGAAGGAACGTGACGAGGAAACTTCCTGCTGGGGAGCGTTGGAGCAGATATACCCCTTGGGTTTATTGACCATAAAATAAAGCCTAGGCGGCGCCTTTCGCGGTAACGACTTGCCGTCCACGTAAATTGAATCTTTCATGGGATCGACCGCGGTTTGCGGGACTGTACACGTGTTGCCGTTTACGGTTACCCGCCCAGCGAATATGATGTCTTCGCATGCGCGCCGCGACGCGATCCCCGCGGCGGCGAGGACTTTGCTCAAGCGCTGCCCGCGCTGCGCGGCTTCGCGCTCCGCGCTGCGGAAGCGCTCGTTGAAGAAGCGCCGCGCGGCCTTGGAGTAGCGCGGGGCGGAAGTCGGTCCCGCGGGCTTTTCCCGCGTGCGCGGCCTGCTGCTGGCAGAGGCGCTGCTGCTGCTGCTTCCGCTGCTGGCGCTGCTCTTGGGAGAGCTTGCGGAGGACTTGGGGGAAGAGACGGGGGAGGCGGGAGGGGAGGGAGGGGGGGGAGCGGAAGCGGAGTCGACTGGTGGTCGCTGTGTCGTAAGCGAGAGTTGCCCGGTTGGGGAGAATACAAGGAGCGGAACCGCAGGTCTGCCACTAACGGATCTGCTAACGGGAGTGTTGCTGCTATTGGTGCCTCCTCCTGTTCCGCTTCCGCTTCCGCTTCCGCTTCCGCTTCCGCTTCCGCTTCCGCCGCCGCTGGAGCCGTTGTTAGCAGAAGCAGTGGTGATCGATTTGATCGAGGTGGATGGTTGCCAGGTGTCCACGTGGCAGGGGATGGCACGTGGAGCCAATGAGATGGTGCCACGTTGGAAGGAGGATTGCGAGGAGCTGGCGAGAGAAGGAAGAGACGTGGAGAGTGACCTGAATGGAAGAATCTTACAACGAGGAACTCGATATAGAGTGGCACTTGGGTTCATGGCGAGGCGCCTCACGGCAGCGGCGGAGGACGCGGCGAGATGGTGCGACGCGGACTGCCATGAGCATGCCATGGCGCTGTTACGAGGCGACAATGGCGATAGCGAATTAGCGAATGACGAACTAGCGAATGGCGAATGGGGATCAGCGAACAACGGGTGACGAATGCAGCAAAAAGCGCGTGCAGCACTGGACTAAGCGAAATCGCGAATTCTGGTCCGCGCAAACCCTCACAGGCCACGACTCACGAGAGTCGAGAAGTAATATTTGACGGTCAGACCCAAGAACTGCTATGTTGACATGAAGTATGGTGGGCAAAGTGACGAGAAAATAAGGGGAGTGATTTTGAGAAAACTTGGAGGGAGGCGGCCTTCTTTGGTACGGGAAAGGCGAGGGAGCAAGACACCAGCCAAGGCTTGTGCTTCGTTAAAGACTGCGACAATAGAGAGTTGTGTACATCACTGTTTCTACATCCACTAATTAACATGTTTATTTTAGTGCTCAAGGTGAATACACCCTAAAGAAGTCTTCACGATAGAAAGACATTGATGACGAAAACATGGCACGGTACTAAAATAGTTATAAGCACTAAAACATGTAATGGTACAGTACATTCATAATAAAGCACACACTTCTTCCACATCATGTTAATCCATATCCCAATATTTTTCTCTAGGCCAACACACCCAGCCCAGCACAGCAGCCTTTCCCTCAATCGAGCTCGTACCGGTACAAGTTAACACTCGTAGCATTTCCTCAAACAGTTGGTTAAAACCGTGGATGCACTCTCTCTCCTTTCCTTAGGGAAGCACCACATCCCCGTCGCCGCTCCCCATGTTAAGTTAAACACCCCATTGCTTTCCATTTCCATCATAAATTACGTGCGTATTCTGGGAAAAGAGACGTCCTTTCCCTTCATTATTGTGCCTGCAGCAAGGCCTGCACTGCGGCCAGAACAGCCTCAGGACTTGCTCCTCCATACTGGGTCGGTACCGCAGCAGACCAACTGGCCCCCTCAGAAGTCCCACCGGTGCTTCCTTCCCACCGGCAGGGAATCTTGCAGCCGGAACAGCCTCACCACCAGATCCTCCATACTGGGCCGACACCTGGGATCATCCTGCATGCATTCCTTAGCCAACACATCAAGCATACGCACCACCATGCTCTTCACCATGCTCTTCACACCATGCCCTTCACCATGCGCTTCACCACACTGCACCACTCTCCACCGCAGCTGACCACCGCTGTCTGTCAGTACCACCCCTTACTGCGCCTGTAACGAGTCCTGCAGCCGGAACAGCCTGACCACTAAATCCTCCATGCTGGGTCGGCACCTGGGATCATCCTGCATGCATTCCTTAGCCAGCACATCAAGCATGCGCACCACCATGCGCCTCGTGGCACTGCCACACTCGGCGCTGCGAGCAAGGTCGTCAGTGTAGGGCTCGGCCCAGTCAAAGAGGGCCTCGGCGCCGTGCTGCTGCGCTGTGCTGTGTGCGCCCTGGCGGCCCGTGAGGAGCGAGAAGAGGACTACCCCGAAGTCAAACGCGTCCTTCCCCATGCCCTCCGCTCCTGACAGGTCCAGAAAGGGAGAGAGAGAGAGAGGCGGATCGGAAGGGAAAGCAGGGAGGAGTAGGCACGAAAGGAGAGGGGAGTATGGTTGAGGGGGAGGGGAGGGGGCAAGGGAACAGCAAGGTCGATAGTGTAGGGTTCGGCTTTTGAGGGGGCTCTAAAGGGCTGGGCCCAGTCAAAGAGGGCCTCTGCGCCGTGCTGCTGCGCCGTGCTGTGTGCTCCCTGCCGGCCTGTGAGGAGAGAAAAGAGCACCACGCCAAAGTCAAACGCGTCCTTCCACATGCCCTCCGCTCCTGATGGTAGTGGGGAGAGGGGGGTGGTGGGTGGGGATGGGGAGGAGGGGTCGGGGGGAAGGAGGAGAGAGAGAGGCAAGGTGGAAAGCCGTGAGCAGCGAGAAGAGCACCACCCTAAATTCAAACGCGTCCTTCCCCATGCCCTCCGCTCCTGATGGCAGTTGGGAGGGGGATGTGGGAGAGGGATGTGGGAGGGGGGTGGGGGGAGCGTGGAGAATAGAGAGGTGGGACGGAAGGCAGGGGAGGAGAGGGGAGTAGGGGTGAGGAGGAAGAGAGGGGGTCAAGGTGGGAAGTCATCAGTGTAGATTTCAGCCCAGTCAAAGAACGCTTCTGCGGGAGGAGGGGGGGTTGGGGGGGAGGGGTGGGGTGGGGGAGGAGGATGGGGAGAATCAAAATGGAAGGGTGAGAGAGGGGTAGGATGAAAGGGGAGGGGAAGGAAAGAGGGATGAGTCTGTGGGGAGGGGCCCACAGCCGATCAGCAGAGGGATGAGTCGGAGGGGAGGGGCCCACAGCCGATCAGCAGAGGCATTTGAGTCGAGTCCCGGCAGCAGTCGCTGACCATGCCACACAAGGGCGGAGAGCACTCGCCCTTGAGGGTCTTCATGGACCACCCTTTGGCCAGTATTGCCGCCAGCCAGCCCATAGCCGGTCGGTCAACAGAGCCTTATGAGTTGTCTCAAAGTTCAACTCGTTACCATGTCACCCCGCAACCATGCCACACAAGGCCGGAGAGCACTCACCCTTAAGTATCTTCTTTGATGATCCTTTGGCCAGTATTGCCGCCAGCCCATAGCCCGTCAGCAGCGCTGTGTAGCTCTGTGGAGAGAAGAAGGGGGGAATAGACAGAGCAAGCATGAGGGCATGGGGGTATGAGTGAGGCACATGGAATGTGGGAGACGTGGAATGTGAGACGTGGAATGTGAGCGACATGGAATTTGGGAGACTTGAAATTTGGGGTTGCCGTGAACCACCGACTTGTATGTGATGTGCCCTATGTACACTCCATACTCGTTACAAGCACACCACTCACCGAATCCAGCATCACATTGCAGCACATGAGGTTGCCGTGAACCACCGACTTGGAGTGCAGGTAGGCCAGCCCCTTGGCCACCCCTATCGCCACCTTCACTCGCACTCGCAGCGGCAGGAAGTCACCATCCACTCCCTCTGGATTGGAGTGACAGGGGGGAGGGAGAGAGGTGGAAGGGGAGGGTCAAAGGAGGGCAGCACATGATGAGGTTGCCGTGAACCACAGCCTTGGAGTGCAGGTAGGCTAGCCCCTTGGTCATGCCAATAGCCACCTTCACTCGCACTCGCAGCGGCAGGAAGTCACCATCCACTCCCTCTGGAGTCATTTGGGGGAGAAAGAGCAATCATTAGAGAGGGTCAGAAGAAGGAGAGGCGGGAATGGCCAGGGGTCGCTGTATTCACGTCAGCCCCTTGGCCACTCCTATCGCCACCTTCACTCTCACTCGTAGAGGCAGGAAGTCACCGTCCACTCCCTCTGGAGTGATTATGAATGGGGGGAAGGGAGGAGAGAAGGGAGGAGGGAAGGGAGGAGGGAAGGGGGAGGGGAGAGAAGTGCTGATCGCCACCTTCACTCGCACTCGCAGCGGCAGGAAGTCACCGTCCACTCCCTCTGAGATGAGACCAAGTAATGAGGCAAGGGAAGTATAAGGGGAGAAAGGGGATAAAACAGACAGGATCAGCAGAGGCCGGTACCCGCTATTTCTTGACAAGTGGTCAAGGCATTTCTCCAGACCAATCTTCAAATTGACTTTTGAGTCGACCCAAACGTTTTCTTGAAAAGTGGTCAAGGCATTTCTCCAGACCGATCTTCAAATTGACTTTTGAGTCGACTCAAAAGTCTTCTTGAAAAGTGGTCAAGGCATTTCTCCAGACCGATCTTCAAATTGACTTTTGAGTCGACTCAAAAGTTTTCTTGAAAAGTGGTCAAGGCATTTCTCTAGACCGATCTTCAAATTGACTTCTGAGTCAACTCAAAAGTTTTCTTGAAAACTGGTCAAGGCATTTCTCCAGACCGATCTTCAAATTGACTTTTGAGTCGACTCAAAAGTTTTCTTGAAAAGTGGTCAAGGCATTTCTCCAGACCAATCTTCAAATTGACTTTTGAGTCGACCCAAAAGTTTTCTTGAAAAGTGGTCAAGGCATTTCTCCAGACCCATTTTCAAATTGACTTTTGAGTCGACTCAAAAGTTTTCTTGAAAAGTGGTCAAGGCATTTCTCCAGACCGATTTTTTTATTTCTAAACAAGGCTTACCCCCCACAAGTCTCATACCCCCAGATCGTAAGTTACCCTCAGCAAGTGATTCTCCGAATTCGCTTGGAAAGGGGTGATATTTGCACAAGTGGGCCTTAACCATAACCCCATCTGTAACTTTTGAGTCGACTCAAAAGATATCTGCACAAGTGCGCCTTAACCATAACCCCATCCGTATATGCAAATCTCATAAGCTTACCTGGAAAGAGGTAGTTCTCCAGGGAAGCGGAGTTGGGGGGGAGGTCGTATGCGATCTGCACATCATCCTTCTCCAGGGCATAGCCGAGAATTTCTGCCAGGTTGGCGTGCTGCAATGCTACCAGCGCTTGAATCTCCTTCTGTTGCATGGTAGGGATGTGCAAGGGAGACGGCCATGTGGGGGGAGGGAGGAAGGAGGTGGGGGGAAAGAGATAGGTTGGGGGGAAGGAGGCTACTTTGCTATCTGCACGTCGTCCTTCTCCAGCGCATAGCCGAGAATCTCCGCCAGGTTGGCATGCTGGAGCGCTACCAGCGCTTGAATCTCCTTCTGTTGCATGGCACGCACGCATGTGACAGCAAGGGGAACACAGTGAGGGGAGATGGAGATGGGGTAGAGGAAGGGGCGTGAGGAGGGAGGAGAGTTGGGAGGAGAGTTGGAAAGGAGGTCGTATGCGATCTGCACATCGTCCTTCTCCAGGGCATAGCCCAGGATCTCAGCTAGGTTGGCGTGCTGCAATGCTACCAGCGCTTGAATCTCCTTCTGTTGGATTGGATACAATGGTTATGTGAACTGAAGATTGGAACGGGAGAGGAGGAGGATCCAATGGTCTTCCCTTCCCTGTTGACAGCGGCGTCCGCGTCCCACCCATCCACCTAGTTGACTAATGGACGGTTGTGATTCATTCATTCGCAGCTCAGCTCACCATCTTATTCTTCTTCCCCAGCGTAGCAGACAGAAACTTCTTGGCAGTTTCAGGCAGAGGCGACGACGGCGCCATGAGAGGCGACTTCGCACCGCCTCCTCCTCTTGGAGACTTCGCCCCTCCTCCTCGGGGGGACTTGGACCCTCCCCCCCCTCGAGGCGACTTGGCCCCTCCCCCCCGCGGGGACTTCCCCCCTCCTCTTCCCTCTCCGCCCACCTCCTCCTTTGTCTTGGAGTGCGGAATCGGGAGGCCGAGCATGAGCGACGCGAGGTCCAGCGATCTCGACTTGGGAATTTTTCCCGGCTGCTTCGTGGGAGCTTGAGCTTCTTCCTGTGACGGCTCCCTTGCATGCCCCCGCTCCCTCCCATGCCCACCCCCACGCTCCCTCCCATGCCCTCCCCCGCGCCCATGCCCATCCCCGGGTCTGTCACGGCTGCTCTCCCCGTGTGCGCGGGCGTACCCTTGTCGATGCTCCCCCTGCTCCTCCTCCCCATCCTCCAACTCGTCATCCTCCCAGTGACCCTGCTCGTGGGGGTCTGGACGATGGGGGTTTGATTGATGAGATTCGGGTCTCCGAGTGTCGATATCGCACTCCTCTTGCCCGTACATCTCACGGCTTTGAGGCGATAACGGCGCTCCATACTCGTCGTCCTCCTCCTCCTCTCTCTCCCTTTCCCTTTCCTGTTGCTGCTCCCGCTGCTGCAGCTGCTGCGACTGCTGATACCGAAGCCGTGACTGCTGGTGGTGCTGCGCCTCCTGCTGCAAACTCCTCCTCTCCGGCTTCTGCTGTTTAGCCTGCTTCAGCTGGTTCGGCTGATCCTTACCCCGCCTCTCCTGCTCCCTGCTGCTCTGCCCGCTCTCGCTCCGTCTAAACAGCCCCCTCTTTCCTCCGCTGCCCCCCTCCCCTCTGCTCCTGGGTCTTCCTCCCGGTGTGGTCGGCGTTGTGGGCGTTGTCGGAACTTCCCCTCCGGAAACGGTCCTAGAGTGCGGAAGGAACCCTCTGAGTGCACGAGCAGCAGGCTTGGGGGAAAGCAACTGAGAGGAGACATTTGCAGCAGAAGAACCACCACCACCACCACCACTACCACCGCTACCGAACCTACCACCACCACTACCCTCACTCTCCCTATCTGACTCATCTCCTCCCATCCACCTCCTCCCAAACCCTCCTTCCAGCTCCCCCTCCTCACCTTCTTCCGTACTCTCCACCCTCTCAACTCCTTTCCTCCCCCTCACCAACCCACTCATTGATGCTGGTACAGCAGACAAGGGCACCTCTGCTTCTGCACCCCCTCCCTCCCTCCCCCGGGAACCTTCCTGTTGGCTTCCTTCCGAGCCTGATTCTGACGGCAGGTTCGCGAGATTCATGTCCGATTTCGAGCGGACCGGCGGGAACTTCGGGCGCCAGAAATCTTTCTGGAAAACGTTTATCCCGCCCGGGATTCGCGGCGAGAGCATGGGGAAAGCAGCAGCAGCAGAGGAGGGTCTGGGGGTTGAAGCACCACCACCACCACCACCACCACCACCACCACCACCCGCAGCAGGAGCAGCAGCAGCAGCGTCGGGAGTGGTTATAGATCCACTGCGTGTGTGGGTTCTGGGTGAAAGTGGGGCTTTAAGCTGCTCCTTCTCATGCTGCTGCTGCTGCTTCTGCTGCTGTGCCCCTCCCCGTCCACTCCCCCCTCTCCCCCCTATTCTCATCTCACCAGACCTACTCGCAGTTGCCTGCACAGGCTGTGGCTGAGCGTGCGAGGAACCTTCCCGGAAGGAGGAGGAGCGGGAGGTTGGGGTGGAGGCGGAGGTAGAAGAGGAGGTGGAGGAGGTTCGGGAGAAGGTTGGTCGGCTCGAACCTGACCCGGCTCGGCCGAACGTGGGGAAGCCTCGGAGGCTGCCCGAAGCTGTGGCTGCTGCTGCTAGGGCTGGGGAGGGGGGGAGTGAGGGAGTGAGTGGGGAGAACAGAGGTCAAAGGAGAGGAGGACGAAGGTCATTTACAAGTCCAGGCCAGATGACGAAATGAAGTGAGAAAAACGTTTCCAGTCGGCATAATTGATCCCTTCCAGTTCCAACCATATCCCTCACTCCACAACCCCAAACCCACCACACCCCACACCCCATAGTCAATCAAGACTCACCTTGCTGCTGAATGGTTTTCAGCCGCCGCACCACCTCCCCCATGGCTGGGCGGTCCTTGGGCAGGCGCTGCACACACATGGCGGCGAGACTGCCCACCGCCTGCCCATCTGACACCCCACTCCTCCCCATACCCCACGCAAACCGAGACTCACCCTGCTGTCTGATGGATTTTAGTCGCCGCACCACCTCCCCCATGGCTGGGCGGTCCTTGGGCAGGCGCTGCACACACATGGCGGCGAGACTGCCCACCGCCTGCAGCGCCTGTGGTGTGCTCGACTCCAGCAGCACAGGGTCTGCGACTGAGTCCGTGTGGCCGCTGCAAATAGCAGGGGTGGCCTGCGTGTGTGGAGTGGGACACGGGGACAGGGGGATGCAGGGGTGAGGGGAGGTGTGCTCGACTCCAGCAGCACAGGGTCTGCCACTGAATCCGTGTGGCCACTGCAGATGGCGGGGGTAGCCTGTTTGGTGGGGAGAAGGGGAGAGGGAGACAATCTCATAATACCGAGACTGCCCACCGCCTGCAGAGACTGAGGGTGAGGGGGGTACTTGACTCCAGCAGCACTGGGTCTGCCACTGAGTCTGTGTGGCCACTGCAGATGGTGGGGGTGGCCTAGGGGAGGCGGGAGTGGTTGCTGTGGGGGGGGAGAGGGGGAGCGGAAGGGAGAATGGGACTGAGGGATACTTGACTCCAGCAGCACGGGGTCTGCTACTGAGTCTGTGTGGCCGCTGCAGATGGCGGGGGTGGCTTGCAGAGTGGTTTGAGGAGAGGGGAACAGGGAAGAAGCTCGTAAGGCAGCGCCTGCAGTGCCTGTGGTGTGGTGTGGTGTGGTGTGGTGTGGTGTGGTGTGGTGTGGTGTGGTGTGGTGTGGTGTGGTGTGGTGTGGTGTGGTGTGGTGTGGTGTGGTGTGGTGTGCTCGACTCCAGCAGCACTGGGTCTGCTACTGAATCCGTGTGCCCGCTGCAGATGGCGGGGATAGCCTGGAAGAGGGGGGAGGGGAGGGGGGGTGTTGTGGGGGCGGAGAAGGGGAGCGGAAGGGAGAATGGGACAGCACTCGACTCCAACAGCACTCGACTCCAACAGCACTCGTCTGCTACTGAGTCTGTGTGACCGCTGCAGATGGCGGGGGTGGCCTGTTTGGTGGGGCCGGGAGAGGGAGAAGAACATAAGACACAGAGGGGGTGGCCTGTTTGTTTCATGGATGGGAGAGGGGCGAGCAGCAGGCACACACAGAGCTGGTACCCGAGTCGCCTCCAGCAGCACTGCATCCGCTACTGGACGGCGGATTGCTTCCGTGTGCCTGCCTGCTGCAGCTGGCGGGGGTGGCCTGGGCCTGGGGTGGTGGGGAGGAGGGGAAAGGAAAGCGAGTATGCAACAGAGCAGTTTACCATTTCCCCAACACAACTTCCCCCCCCCCATCCCCGAGTCCCGAACCCACTAATCCCCCTTCTCTCGCCCATTCAAAGAGGTGAGAAAAGGCACCTGTACCGCACCATTCGAAATGGTACCCCCATTCGGCGAGTACCATCCTCTCCCCCGCACCGTCCGTCCGACTCCTTGAGAACAGGCACCTGTCCCCTTATCCACTTGAACTTGATACTTTCTCTTCACATCACCCCCAACCTCTTCAACCCCCTTTCCAGCTCACCCATTTCACGAGGGGCCATTCTCTCCCCGGCGTCGTCCGACTCCTTGAGAACAGGCGCCTTGGTTATCCTCTTACCCATGTGACCCTTTCACCTCACCTCACCTCACCTCACCTCACCTCACCTCACCTCACCTCACCTCACCTTCCAGCTCACCCATTTCGCGAGCGCCATTCTCTCCCCGCCCGGCGCCGTCTGACTCCTTGAGAACGGGCGCCTTGCCTGTGACCTTACCTTACCCACTTGCCCTCAACCAATATATTATTTAGCCTCCATCACGCCCCTCTCCTCCCCTCACTCGCCCATTTCGCGAGCGCCGTTCTCTCCCCGCCCGGCGCCGTCTGACTCCTTGAGAACGGGCGCCTTGCCTGTGACCTTACCTTACCCACTTGCCCTCAACCAATATATTATTTAGCCTCCGTCACGCCCCTCTCCTCCCCTCACTCGCCCATTTCGCGAGCGCCGTTCTCTCCCCGCCCGGCGCCGTCTGACTCCTTGAGAACGGGCGCCTTGCCTGTGACCTTACCTTACCCACTTGCCCTCAACCAATATATTATTTAGCCTCCATCACGCCCCTCTCCTCCCCTCACTCGCCCATTTCGCGAGCGCCGTTCTCTCCCCGCCCGGCGCCGTCTGACTCCTTGAGAACGGGCGCCTTGCCAGTCTCCTTACCCACTTGACCCGTTCTCCTTACTCAACCCCAGCCATCCCGCCCTCTTTCTCTCACCCATTTCGCGAGCGCCGTTCTCTCCCCGCCCGGCGCCGTCTGACTCCTTGAGAACGGGCGCCTTGCCAGTCTCCTTACCCACTTGACCCGTTCTCCTTACTCAACCCCAGCCATCCCGCCCTCTTTCTCTCACCCATTTCGCGAGCGCCATTCGCTCCCCGGCGTCGTCTGACTCCTTGAGAACAGGCGCCTTGCCTGTTATGAGCTCCAGAAGCACCACTCCAAAGCTGCCACGTGGCATGCACGCAGATAGAGGTATGGGGACACTTGGACAAGGTACAGGGCATGGCAGTCAAGTGAATTTCTTTTCATTGCAAACTAACACCTCACTCCCTGCGTGCATACCTGTAGACGTCAGAACGATCGGACACAATGCTGGTCTGGCAATATTGTGGATCGAGGTAGCCCGGTGTGCCGACCACTCGGGTGTGCGTGGGAGACGTGGACTCGTCGTTGATCTCTTTCACGTTGCCAAAGTCGCCCAGCTTCGGCTGGGAGAATTGAGAGGCGAGGGAAGCAGGTACAAGGGGCAAGGGAGTGAAGGAAGCACTGGTGTGAGCGGGGAAGACAAGGGAAACTTTTGAGAATTCTCAAAAGTCACTCCCATATAGCGGGGAAGACGAGGGAAACGTGGACTCGTCGCTGATCTCCTTCACGTTGTCAAAGTTGCCCAGCTTCGGCTGGGGAAGGGGAGAAGGGAGGGAGGGGGGGAAGGAAAACAAGCGTGTCTTTTGACGACCCAACAATTATCCAGATAGCCTGGAGTGCCGACCACTTGGGTGTGCGTGGAGACGTAGACTCGTCACTGATCTCCTTCACGTTGCCAAAGTCGCCTAGCTTGGGCTGGGCGGGGCTGATAAGTCGAGGGGGGAGTAAGAGGAGCATGGAAGGGGAGATGGGGAAAAGTGGGTGATCTGTGGTGTGAGCGACTCACATGCAAGTCATTATCAAGAAACACATTAAGCGTCTTGACATCGCGGTGAATGATTGCTGGGTGGCACCCATGCATGCACTGCAGCGCCTCAGCGACCCCCAGTGCAATCTCCAGGCTCATAACAACCCGACTCATAAACACACGCACAGCAACTCACATGCAAGCCATTATCCAGAAACACATTGAGAGTCTTCACGTCACGATGTATAATGGCCGGGTGGCATCCATGCATGTACTGCAGCGCCTCCGCCACTCCCAGCGCCACCTCCAGGCGCTTGTCAAACCACAGCATGCCAACCCTCCCCTCCCATTAACAGCGACTCACATGTAAGTCGTTGTCGAGGAATACGTTGAGAGTCTTGACATCACGGTGAATGATGGCCGGGTGGCACCCATGCATGTACTGCAGCGCCTCCGCCACTCCCAGCGCCACCTCCAGGCGCTTGTCAAACGACAGCATGCCGCCCGGCTTGCCTTCGATGGCCGCCTCGCCCCTAATGGGGTTGATGTGCTGGCGCAGGTTGCCGTTGGGCACAAACTCGTAGACGAGGAGGAGTTCTTCCCTTTCTTCACAGTACCCCAGCAGCCTCACCAGGTTGGGGTGGCGTAGCTGCGACACTGCGTGGATCTGGGGGAGGAGAGGGGGAGGGGGAGGGGGGAGGAGGGGGAAAAGGGACAGAAGCAGGAGGCACAGGGGCGGAGGAGGAGAGAAAATGAGTAGTGGATGCATGGGGAGTGAAGGGGACAGCCCTGCATGGCCGCCTCGCCCCTGATGGGAGCGATGTGCTGGCGCAGGTTGCCGTTGGGTACAAACTCGTAGACGAGCAGCAGCTCCTCTCTTTCCTCGCAGAATCCTAGTAGCCGCACCAGGTTGGGGTGGCGCAACTGAGAGACTGCATGGATCTGGGGGGAGGTAGAGGGGTGGAGGGGGGGAGTGTGGGAGGGGGAGTGGAGGGAGAGGACAGTAATGAGGAGTGGAGGCGAGGTTGCCGAACTCGTAGACGAGCAGCAGCTCCTCTCTTTCTTCGCAGAATCCTAGCAGCCGCACTAGGTTGGGGTGGCGCAGCTGTGACACCGCGTGGATCTGTGGAGAGGGGGGGGAGTGGGGGGAACATAGGGAATGGAGGCATGGAGCTGGAGGCAGCTCCTCCCTCTCCTCGCACAGAAACCTTCTCTCTCACCTCTTTCTCGTAATTCTTTTGTCAAGAGAATTCCCCCCTTCTTCCCGCGCTTCACAGCCCAAAGATGCCTCCTCTGCCCTGCCCACCCCTGCGAGGCCCTCTCCTCTCCACCTGCCTCCTCGTACGGAATCGCCACAAGACCTCCCTCTCGAGTCTAGGGTAACAAGACAAGACCCTGACCCTTCAATCTCCATGGTCCATCCATCCACCCCACCCTAAGAAACCATTTCTCACCTCTTTCTCATAGTCTTTCCGTCGGCTGATCCCGCCCTTCTTCCCGCGCTTCACAGCCCACAGCTGCCCGTCCGCCCCACACCCCCGGTAAACCACCGCCGACCCCCCTTCCCCCAGCTTGGCCTCCTCCGCCCACCCCTGGGTCGCCCGCTCCACCTCCTCGTACGGAATGGCCTTGGCTGGTTCCAGCTCTTCCAGGTCTGTGCCGTCAGGCACGGATTCCAGGCGCTTGGCGAAGGATCGGCGCAGGAGGGCTTGGTGCTTCGCGCCCCTGCCTCCTGCCCCTCCCATACCCGCCCTCCCTGCTGCTGCTGCTGCTGCTCCTGCTGCTCCTCCTGCTCCTGCTCCTGCTCCTGCAGCTCCTGCTCCTCCCCCCCCTCCTCCTCCTGCTGCTCCTCCTGCTCCTGGCCCCTTTCCTATCCCTCCTATAATCGGCATCCTCCCCGGAAGCTCCAACACCACTCCCCCTCCCCCCCCGTCTCCCCCTCCCCCCCCTCCGCCTCCCCCAGCCAACCCCCCTGCCCCTCCGCTTCCCCCCACACTCCCCCCACTCCCCACAAACTGCCCCCTCCCTTGTTTCATCTCCAGCCTAGCCCCCCCCTCCACAGCCCACGCCAGCTGCTCGCCCACCCTTCTCTCCGCCTCAAACCGCACCTCTGGGAGAGTCACCGCCATGAGCAGCGACTTATCCGAGGATCTCAGCATCGCGTGCTGGGAGGAAGACGCGCCTATGGAGTGCAGCAGGCGCTTCACCGACACCTCGCTGGGGATACTATCCACAGGGGAGGTGCCGTTCCACGCGACAAACCAGGAGAAATCGCTCATCGAGTCGATTCGAACCGTCGCGCCGAGCGGGAACGAGGAGGAGAAGGAGCAGGCAGCGGCAGAGGAAGCGGAGGAGGAGGAAGGGGAGGAGGAGGGCGAGGGGGAGGAGTTAAGGTTGGCCTCGCGGCGGTCGGGGAGGAAGAGGTCTCGCACGTCATCTAGCCCGTCGTCCCACAGGATTAGCTCGTCTCCCACTGCTGGGACTACCCTCGTGTGCTTTCGCACTGTCAGCCGCCCAGATACCCTGGCGCTTGTTGCAGGGGCAGTGCTGGTGGTGGTGGTGTGTGTGTTGGTGGTGCTGTTGGTGGTGATGGCGGTGCCTTTGCTGCCGGTCGCTGCAGCAGCGTCTGCTGAGGTGTTGGGATCAATACCTGCTGCTGTAGCGTCAATAGTACCACCGCCCTCAGTTCTACCTCCCTCTGTGCTGCTTCTACCAGCACTACCGGCACTGCCACTGCTGCCGCTGCTGCCATTGCTGCTCAAGCTACACACACTGTTAATTCCCGTGCTGCTGCTGCCCCCACCGCTGCACTCACTACCTCCTCCCCTCCTACCCTCACTTCCCCCGCAAAAATCACACAACCGACCCGCAACACCAGCACCAGAACCACCCGCACCACCACTGCCACCCTCCGCTGTAACCACCTGATTATTCTCCTGAATAACCAGCTGCACGGCTCGTCCCAGCAAGGCATACTGGGCTAAGACAGGGGCGAGTGAGACCGCCACATCGTACACCGTTCGTTGGGACGCCTCCCACACTGCTTGCACCTCGTCCGTCAGATCTTCCAGCAGATCCTCCAATGGCGCGGCGGCAATACGGTACGAGTCAACATCCCAACGGGAGGGGGAGGGGGAGGGGGAGGAGGATGGAGGGTGGCACCCGTTGGCAATGGCAGGGGCGGACTTGTTAGCGGGTTCGGCGGTGGCAGCGGCAGGTTCGGCAGTGGCAGCGGCAGCAGGTTCGGGTGTGGATCGCAGGGCTTGGGAGTCGAGTTCGGCTCGGAGGGCAAACGTTCGGAAGGCAAAGAGAGGCACCCTGCGAGGGTCGCCCTGTGAAGGGGGAGGGGGGGGGAGGGGGAGGAGGGGAAGGGGAGGAGAGACAGGCTGAGCAGTCGAGTTCGGCTCGGAGGGCAAACGTTCGGAAGGCAAAGAGAGGCACCCTGCGAGGGTCGCCCTGTGAGGTTGTGGTGGTGGGGGTTGGAGGGTTAGAGGAGGTGGGGGCGAGGAGAAGGGGAGGAAAGAGAAGCTGAGCAGTCGAGAGCAAAGGTGCGGAGGGCAAAGAGCAGCACCCTGCGAGGGTTGCCCTGTGGGATGTTGTTGGGGTGGGGGGGGGGGGGGAGGGGGGGGAGGAGGAAGGGGGAAAAGGAGCAAGTGGAAAATAAACACTACCGCAGGGAGAGGGGGGGGACGGGTTGGACTTCTAAGATGTCTCGAAAAGGGGGCAAAGGAGCAGAAGGCAAAGGAGGACCCTCTGAGTGTCGCCCTGTCCCCCGTCCCCCATCCCCCGTCCCGTGTCTCCTCACCCTTCTCCCCTCTCTGTTACCTTCCGCCCTCCCCCCTCCTCTCAACTTGGGTACTCCATCCCTTTCTCTCACCTTGGGGACCTTATCAATCATCATCATGGCAGCCCTAATCCCCATGGCCTGGGCGCTCAGCCGCATACCCTTCAGCTGCGTGCAGGACAGAAGCTTGCCACTCCCATCCCAACCCAACCCAACCCAACCCAACCCAGCCCAACCCAACCCAACCCATCCCAACCCAACCTCCCATCTTCCCCTCACCTTGGGGACCTTATCAATCATCATCATGGCGGCCCTAACCCCCATGGCCTGGGCGCTCAGCCGCATCTCCTTCAGTTCCGTGCGAGACGGCAGCTTGCCGCGAGTCAGTGGGCGCAGGCACGACCGGTACCGCAGGTGCAGGATGCGCACCGCCTTCTCTAGACCGTCCAGATCGGCCGGGTCGAGGATCGGACGGCTCACAGCGCCTGAGAGTGGGGGTGGGGTTCAGTTTAGGGATTTAAAGATAGGTGTGGAAGCGAGAGTGGGGGAGGGTCGAGCAGCGAGGGGGGGGGGAGGGTGTAGGGGGGGGAAGTGGGGGAGCGAGGAACGGGTGAGGGGGAGTGGAAGAGGAGGGAAAGGGGAAGGAAAGACGTTGGTTGGACGGCAGCTTGCCGCAGGTCAGCAGGCGCAGGCACGACCTGACCGGTACCGCAGATGTGCTACTGGCAGGGCGTGGGATGGGAGGGTTGGGGACGTTAGAGGGGTGTCACCAAATATGCACTTCGTGCATATGCGATGACAGTGATGCGCAGGTGTAGATTGAGGTGTAGCAGATGTTGTAATGGGATTCGAGGTGTAGTAAGGGGGAGGACGAATTTGACGTTGGGAATGGGAGGGAAAGCACCGAGGGGCGAAATGCATTGAACCAATCAGGGAGGACCAGCCCAAACTCGAGCCGCACATTGTGAAATGTGCGACTTGAGCCTGGGCAAGGTAAGTTCAGTCACGAACACACAATCCATGCTTTTCGCTTGTTATTCTCTCGTCATAGTGAAATCAGTTGCTTTAGATCCTACATCCAGCAGCACGCCACTAGGAGGGAACCTACTCGTTCATGGGAGAGGCTGAGGGGACACAGCCCATGTAAGGAAAGAAAGCAGGAATGGCAACAGGAAGAAGAGCAGGTGCTGGAGGAAGGTTGTTCTCCGACAGGGGAGAGGGTAAAGGGGAGGAACGAGGAAAAGGGGGGAGATGAGAAAGGGGAGAGGGGAGAGGGTAGAGGGGAGAGGGTAGAGGGGAGAGGGTAGAGGGGAGAGGGGAGAGGGTAGAGGGGAGAGGGGAGGGGGGAGAGGGGAGGCACGGAAGGGTGTGATAAGGTTCCGCAGGTGCAAAATGCGAGCAAGGGTTGGGGGGAGAAGGGGAAGAGGGGAGAAGGGGAAGAGGGGAGAAGGGGAAGAGGGGAGAAGGGGAAGAGGGGAGAAGGGGAAGAGGGGAGAAGTAGTGGCCTAGATTTTGGGAGTGGGCGGCTGACAAATTGGTTGGGAGAGGGAGTGTGGGTGTGAGTGGGAATGGGGTGTGAGAAGCACATGGGGATGGGAATGGGATTGGGGATGGGAATGGGATTGGGGATGGGAATGGGAGTGGGGATGGGAATGGGAGTGGGAATGGGAATGGGAGTGGGGATGGGAATGGGAGTGGGAATGGGAATGGGAATGAAGGTGGGAGTGGGTGCGGGAGTGGATGGGGAAATGGGAGTAAGAGCAGCAATATAAGTGGGAGTGGGGTTGGAAGTAAGATTCGGAGTGAGAATGGGGGAATGGGAGTGGGAGGGGGAGTGGGAGTGAGAGAGGGAGTAGGAACGGGAGCTGGATTGCGCATGGGGTGGAGCGGAATGGGCATAAGGAGAGTGCGGGGAGTGCGAGAGTGGAGGAGGGAGTAGGGAGGAGCGAAAAAGAGTCAAACCAGAAAAGAGCAAAAGATAACTCAAAACGAGAAGGCCAACATTTAAGGCCACGATAATTCACCACGACACCCGTCCACTAACCTTCCACTACCACCAAAAACCTAACCCAGTCTCTAACCGCAATCCTACCACGAAGCCTAGTCCTTAACTGAACCATAACCCTAAACTTGACGTTCGCGTTTCCTCCTTCCGCGAAACCTAACCTAACCAACCGTGTCACAATGCTAGCATACCCACCTCAGTCCGCTGTTTCCTGGCTGCGCTTCCTTCCTGCCGATATCGCGGCATGGAGTGCTAAACGCGTGTAGACGCACCATGGTGATTGGTGCGTCCTGTCACAGTAGCCAGCGGCCAGCCAGTCACGCTGTTACCCTACTAAACATACTTCCGTCCGATGCCTCCTCGCTACCTACCCAACCCCGTCCGCCGCGGTCTCCTCGCTTCCCGAATTGCGACTCGACTCAAACTGTGTGCGTCCTGCCAGCCTGTCACGCTGTAATCCTTTTAAACCAAATCACCTCCAATGTCTCCTCGCCAGAACCTACCTCCGTCCGCCGCTGTCTCCTCGCCTCCCGAATTCTTGGTCGACTCAAACCAATCTACGCGTCCTGCCAGCCTGTCGCGCTGCAATCCTACTAAACATACCCCCGTCTGATGTCTCCTCGCCAGAACCTACCTCCGTCCGCTGCTGCCTCCTCGTTTCCCGAGTCGTGCAGCTGCGTGAAAAGCGCGTGCAGACAGCTCAGCATGCGTACACGTGGCAAGCCGTCCCCGTCCGCCTTCGCATTTCCGCGGTTATACGCTGACATGGCGGCTGTAACTGCGCCGAGTGCCAGGTGTGCGATTCCTAGAGGCGCGCCGAGCTGACCGGATCGTGCGACGGTTCCGATTGGTTCGGGCAGGTTTTCGGAAACATTTCGTTGGTCGGGCAGCCATGTGGGTTCGATGTCGTCGTCGCTACCGTCTGAGAAATCGCCAAAGTCCGCCATTGTTCGAGGCAGACTAGCAGCAGGGCTATAGGCTGTGAATAGATATGGGTCGTTTTGGATAATCTATTAGACAAATTCAACCCTGCTTTGACGGCACTGATACAGCGAGACCGCGCTCTATATCGTGTCCCAAAATGATAATTTGTCCCACTAATCACTACGGCTGGTCTGTGGTGGCGTGTCTGAATATCATTGGACTACAGAATTTCAGTCAGTTCTCGCGAGAATGGAGTCAGTGTGAAGTATTATCGCCCCCTGGTTAATCACGGGGAAGAACCGAGTTAGCTTGACAAGCCCTACATGTAAGTCCGATGTTGTTACGTCAGGTGCGTCAGAGACCTAGGCCAGCAAGAAGCTGTTAACAAGTAGTAACAGGTCGTCCTTCGCATAATTGCGGCTACCGGATGTACCCGTTCCCTACAATACGGACACCCATTGGGTGGGCTACTATCATGACCAGATAACAAGAGAAACGGCTGGATAACACGAACATGTGGTTCCAGAAATGACTGTTCTCGAGTGAACTAAAGGGACACGAAGCAGCACCTTAGTTGCTTGCTGGTAAGGTTGATGCATCTCCCGAAAAGATGCAGCTCTGACGGGGAGGTTTACTCTGTTAAATTGTCTGACTCTCTTCCAGTAAACTATCGCATAAACGGGGTACGATGTGAATATTGTCCAGAACCACGAATCACTTTTATTGGAGAAAACGGCTATCTGCTGGCAAAAGGTCGGTTTACCATGTTTTTAACCAGCAGCCAGCACAGAATTGATGCTATATCTGAGCGGCAGGGAACAAACAGTTCGGGAGACCTTGAGATTTCTCCCTGTCCTCGATCCGGAACAAAAATATCAAGACTTCAAGTACTGTACAGAAATTGTGGGAATCGTTTGGTTCACCAGAAACAATGGGTCACCAGAAACGAAACGTGCTTTCCCTTTCTCATTGGTCCACTGGAGTTTGTGGTGAGCAGGAATGAAATGAACAGTGTGACTGTTGTGTGACCAGAGGGGCGTGCGTGTGTGAGCGCAGGGGGAAAATCACTTCAGCCAGTGATGTGAGGGGACCAAAAACAGCTCGATTCCTGCCTCTTGCGGCACAAAACGCCAAGCATAGGGGGACCTTGAAAGTGTACGGTGAACCGGTATAAAAAGACTCGAGATCATCCAACGAAATGCCACCATAATCTTTCCTTTTAAAACGTTTCTGAACCGCCAATAGTTATTGCAGTTTATGCCTGAACCTACTTCAATAGAACGGACCTTTTTACATGTTTTAGGAAAGACAGTCGGGTACATACTTCAAGTGCAGCGCTTCGGCAATACCAACAAGCGATATGCCTTTGCATCAAACCAGCCCTGGGCCATCTGCTGACTGAAGTTACTTGTGAACCATATATGTGTTGTCTACCGATACTATGGCTCATTATTGCAAATTATAGGCCCACCCGTGATCATCTAAAAAGTGTTGTACTGTTTCTCTGAGTGCCAGGTTTGGCACCAGCTGCTCTGGCGTCAAGGGGGCCCTTGTTACCGGGTCAAAGTGTTTTCCCTGCACCAAGAAAAAAGACCAAGAAATACTGTGTGTAAAGGCATACGGTACAGATATGATTTCACACCACAGGAAGGCAAAGCGTAGCTATCTACGAAGCACAGAAGAAGAAAGAAAGAAAGAAAGAAGCGCAGCCAACGGGCTGTTAGGATGTGGTAGAAGTGCCCTCAGACACTTTTTTTTTTTTCAACAGAGATGCAACGGAAGGGAGATGCAACAGAGCAGCCTATGTACTTACCGACTTCAGGTGATCCACCAGCACTGCTCGTTCGTATGAGGCGCCTTATCAGCAGTGTGAGCGATGTGGAAGACGAGGCCGAGAGAAGGAACAGAGCAGCCTATGTACTTACCGACTTCAGGTGATCCACCAGCACTGCTCGTTCGTATGAGGCGCCTTATCAGCAGTGTGAGCGATGTGGAAGACGAGGCCGAGAGAAGGAACAGAGCAGCCTATGTACTTACCGACTTCAGGTGATCCACCAGCACTGCTCGTTCGTATGAGGCGCCTTATCAGCAGTGTGAGCGATGTGGAAGACGAGGCCGAGAGAAGGAACAGAGCAGCCTATGTACTTACCGACTTCAGGTGATCCACCAGCACTGCTCGCTCGTATGTCACGCCACTGGGGGTGATGACAGGATCCTTGAAAATGTCCATGGTGATCTTGCAGCAGAGGAAGTCAGGCACCTGAGGGGCACAGTTGAAGGGAGAGAGGGGTGGAGAGAGAGAGGGAAAGAGAGCCCGTAGGTGAGTGATGATGACAGGATCCTTGAAAATCTTCATGGTGATCTTGCAGCAGAGGAAGTCAGGCACCTGTGGGGCACAAGGGGGTGTGAGAGAGAGGCAGCACGGTGAGCGCATGGCATGGTGTGGAAGGCACATGGAAACAACAGGGGCCACCACCAGCTGGTGATCACAGGGGGTTGATAGACAGGGTCCTTGACAATGTCCATTGTGATCTTTCCTGCACAGGAAGTCAGGCACATGTGGGCACAAGGGGTTGTCAGGCACGTGTGGGGCACAAGGGGGTGTCAGGCACGTGTGGGGCACAAGGGGGTGTCAGGCACGTGTGGGGCACAAGGGGGTGTCAGGCACGTGTGGGGCACAAGGGGGTGTCAGGCACGTGTGGGGCACAAGGGGGTGTCAGGCACATGTGGGGCACAAGGGGGTGTCAGGCACGTGTGGGGCACAAGGGGGTTCTTGAAAATGTCCATTGAGATCTTTGCTGCAGTGGAGGCCAGGCACCTGTGACCCATGTGTTGACTTGCATACAAAAGCGCACACGATGCGCAGAACACAAAAGAACATCGCCCCAGAAGTCTAGTTTTGAGGCGCCTCAAAACTAGACTTGCATACAAAAGCGCACACGATGCGCAGAACACAAAAGAACATCGCCCCAGAAGGCATCTTCAGAGTGTTGGGTTGGGCCGCACCCTTGACGCTGCAGCAGAGCATGCTGCCCTGCCACATGATAGATCTTAGTAGTAACATCTTGAGGCGTCTCAAAATGTTACTTCTATCCCGCACCCTTGACGCCGCAGCAGAGCATGCTGCCCTCCCTTGTCGCTCGGTGACTTGGTCTGTCGCTGCAGGTTTTTTTTTTTTTTTTGTGTTTAAGAAATCTGAAAAAAAAACCGTGCTCCTGCCTTGTCAAACACGTCCTCGAGCATGTTGGGGCGCTCCTGGATGGAGACAGGAGACGACTTCTGAGGCGCCTCACAACTTGAGCATGTTGAGGCCTCACCTTTCACTCCTGGTACTGCTGCAGAGCAGACATTCCTTCGCATCACCCCACCTTCTGAGTCGACTAAAAAAAGGTGACCTTTGAGTCGACCCAAAAGTCACCTTGAGCATGTTGAGGCGCTCCTGGTACTGCTGCAGACATTCCTTCGCACCACCCCACCTTCTGAGCCTCCTCAACAACTCGACACACACATTTTCTTCCAGACTCCCAAACACTCACCTCGGTAGGTCTGTCTGGTGCTCCTGCCTTATCAAACACGTTTTCCAGCGTGTTGAGTCGCTCCTGGTACTGCTGCACTAGCGTCCTCACTTGCTCCGACTTGTGAGGGTCCAGACCTGCGGGAAGAGTGGGGTTGGAAGGACGAGAGGAGAGGATACAGGCGTAAGGCATAGAATCGTGTTAGGGCGCTCCTGATATTGCTGCACTAGCGTCCTCACCTGCTCCGTTTTGATTGGGTCCATTCCTGCAGAGAACGAGATGCGTGAGAGGCACGAGTTGAATTTTGAGGCGCCTCAAAAACGAGATGCGTGAGAGGCATGAGAGGGAGATGTGAGAGTGGGAAGATGAGAGGGAGATGTGAGAGTGGGAAGATGAGAGGGAGATGTGAGAGTGGGAAGATGAGAGGGAGATGCGAGAGTGGGAAGATGAGAGGGAGATGTGAGAGTGGGAAGTTGAGAGGGAGATGTGAGAGTGGGAAGATGAGAGGGAGATGTGAGAGTGGGAAGATAAGAGGGAGATGTGAGAGTGGGAAGATGAGAGGGAGATGTGAGAGTGGGAAGATGAGAGGGAGATGTGAGAGTGGGAAGATGAGAGGGAGATGTGAGAGTGGGAAGATGAGAGGGAGATGTGAGAGTGGGAAGATGAGAGGGAGAGGTGGGAAGAAGGGGTAGAAGAGCGTGTTGAGGCGCTCCTGGTACTGCTGCAATAGCGTCCTCAGTTGCTCCGACTTGAGAGGGTTTGAGCCTGCAGAGGGTGAGAGACACGATAGGGAGATGTGAGCGTGGGACGATGAGAGGGAGAGGTGGGAGCAGGGGGTAGAAAAGGCATGTTTGGTCGCACCTGGTACTGCTGCACGGGCGTCCTCCTCTCCTGTTCCGATTCGAGAGGGTCCAGACTTGTGAAAGGCGCGAGGCATTGAGAGGCACGGGAGGGAGACGTGCAAATGGGAGGATGAGAGCAGGAGGTGCGAGTGGGGAAGGTAACGAGTGCTGAGTTACGCCGCTCCTGGTGTATTTTAATTCGAACAACTCTCAAAATACACCTGGACAAGGCATGGGCCATCTTTTGAGGCGCCTCAAATGTGTATTTTGAACAAATCTCAAAATACACCTGGACAAGGCATGGGTCATCACATGAGCTGCATTGCATGTGTCTGTGTGTCCATCGTAATCCCCTAACTCCCCACTCTCCTCTCACCATCCGTGTTTCCCAAACTGGAGAAGTCCACATGAGCTGACCCATTCAGCGCGCCCTCTTTGCCTGCAAAGGACGGAGTCAGGGCAGCAAGTCACATGCTTTTTCATTGGCAATGTCCCTCGCCTCGACACTCAAAAGTCACCTCATTGACAATGTCCCTCGCCTCGACTCAAACTTGGCGTTCTGAGCAACAGATTTTAAGATTCATGTGGCCTTTTCGAGGACAAACACAGGCGCTCTTAAGTTCGTTTGAGTCACCACACATTTCCCACTACAAGCACAAAGTAACATCCACGGTGTATTCGATTCAAAAGTTTGTTAACATGAATAAAACGAAACATCTATCGCACGGGCGGCATAACAACACACTAACTAGAAAGCTGACTTGTGAGGTGTCTCAGAAGTTAGCACCGCACTTACCAAAAAGCTGACTTCCGAGGCTGCGATACTTGCTGGCAACACAACAACAAGCTGACATTCGTGGCTGTCAGACTCAATGCAAACACCGCACGTACCAAGAAGCTGCGATACTTGCTGACACAGGCGATTCTTTAGTAGCAGCTTTAGCTCATCTCTGCACCCAAACAACCGTCAACCCACAAAAAAAATCAGCAAAGGAACCAGCAACAGCAATATATGTGTGTGTGTGTGTGTGTGTGTGTGTGTGTGTGTGTGTGTGTGTGTGTGTGTGTGTGTGTGTGTGTGTATAGATATAGATATAAAAGAGGAAAAAGCGGGTTTTGCAAGCACCTCTATCATCCCGAAGCCACACTCCAAACTCACCCCAGCACCTGCTGCTTCTCCCTCCTGGCCTTGGCCTCTTCCTCCCACCGCCAGTACTTGGCAGCAGCCTGCACGCGCTGAGTTGCAAACTTCACACACACACAAGCACATGCTTGTACAAGCATCGCTTTCACAGTTCAGCGCTCACTCACCCCAGCGCCTGCTGCTTCTCCCTCCTCGCCTTGGCCTCTTCCTCCCACCGCCGGTATTTGGCAGAAGCAAGAACTCGCCAGATGTCGTCCAGGTTGTCACTGCGCACCAACCGCGTGTCATTCCTCAGTGCTTCCAACGCCTGCTATGGACAGGAGAAGGGGGAAGGATAAGGATCTTGATGTTACTCGTTACTTCAACACCATACCGGTACTTGGTTGGCAGCAGCCAGCTCGCGCCAGATGTCATCCGGGTTGTCACTGCGTACCAGCCGCGTGTCGTTCCTCAGAGCTTCCAACGCCTGGGAGGGGAATTAAGAGGAATGGAAGGGAAGAAGGATGCGGATATTTAATGGTACTCGCTACTTCAGCTCAGCACACCGTGGGTACTTGGCAGAAGCAAGAACTCGCCAACAGTCGCCCAGGTTGTCACTGCGTACCAGCCAGGTATCATTTGGTGTCACTCGCCAAATGTTGCCCAGGCTTGCTTCCAGTGCCTGGCAGGGGAATGCAGGAAGAGAGAGCGGAAAAATAAATAAGGAGCTTGATGTTACTGCGCACCAGCCGCGTGTTGTTCCTTGGTGCTTCTAGTGCCTTGGAGGGGAATGGGGGACAAACGGTTTTCCTGAACCAGGTGCCATGCCGTTCCACACTGTTTCTAGCGCCTGGGAACGGAGTGGTTGAAAGGGATCAAAAGGGGTTGCACAAGCATGATAGCCAGTGCAAGGAATCCATGTATGCACTGGTCTTACAATTCCTCCATTTCTTATCCATCCAATACCCAGACCCCACCCACCTTCCCCCCTTCCCAGTCACACCCCCACGCACACACTGTCCCTCTCCCTCTCCCTTTCCCCCTCTTCCCCATGTCCCTCCCCCCACGCACCTTCTCAAGCTCTCTAATCGCCTCTGGGAATCGGCTCAGCTTCACCAGAGCAAGAGGAGCAGATGCCCGCACCCCACCCACCCACCCATCCTCCCCCCTTCCCAGCCCAGTCATGTCCTCTTGCTCACCTCTGGGTGAGTGCACACCCTTCCCCTCACCCTCTCCCCCCTGTCCTTTCCGCGCCCCGCCCACCTTCTCAAGCTCTCTGATCGCCTCTCGGAATCGGATCAGCTTCAACAGAGAAAGGGAGGCAGATGCGCCCAACCATACCCCCTGTCCATGTATACCCCCACGCACATGTCCGGCCCCCTTCCCCTCTGTCCTTATCCCTCTCCCCCCTGTCCCTCTCCCCCCTGTCCCTCTCCCCCCTGTCCCTCTCCCCCCTGTCCCTCTCCCCCCTGTCCCTATCCCCCCTGTCCCTCTCCCCCCTGTCCCTCTCCGTCCCTGTCCCTCCCCCCATGTCCTTCCCCCCCACGCACCTTCTCCAGCTCTCTGATCGCCTCTGGGAATCGGCTCAGCTCCACCAGAGCAAGGCCAAGAAGAAAGCGCGCCTGCAGAGGAAAAGGGCACAGGCGTTTTTATCTTGATTTGTTTTCGTGTGTATGTTTATCTTATAAACAGAGATATATACGAAACTCTTTGATAGTGTTAATAGTGAGGAGGAAACGAGATTGGAGACAAGAACCTGTTGAGTTGTCGTCACTATGTTCTACTCTTCAAACGCATGCATCCATTGATTGTGAACCATGACACACTTCAATATGATTTCAGAATGCAATTTCATTCAAGTACCTTGACGGAATTTCTGTCCAGTTCCAACGCCTTCGTGCAGTCATGCTCTACTCTCGGCCAATCGCTGCACACAGACGAAAGAGAGGGAACGGATGGGCCATGATAAAACAACATGCTGCGCGAACAACATTGACCAGCAGAAAAATGACAACACAAGAATCCAACTTGGGTTACCCTCATGGCAAAGTTCAGCAGCCTCTGGGTCTAACCAGTTTCTCCTGCAACACGGAGCTCTAAATTCTAAACAACCGTCTCGCCATGTGTCACTCACCATTTTCTCCTGTGGCATAGAGCTCGGTTGGTCCAATAAACTGGCACCCCTGGGGCAAAGGTGATGGCCTGGCTTGGGAAGGAAACATTGGAGACGGAGAGAATGGCAAAGGGCGGAGGAGGAGGAGACACAGCGACAAAGGTTGGAATTGGATGGGAATGGAAAGGGGGACGAGAATTGGGTGGCACCGGCTCGTTGGGTCCGGTAGACTGGCACGTGTGGGGAATTGGAAGGTAATGGGAAAGGAAGGGTATAGGAATCAGGTGGTAGAGAGTTCAGCTAATCCAGTATACTGGCATGCCTGATTGAGAAAGGCAATGGCTTGCCATGTGAACGGCCATGGGAAGAAACAGGACAGCGAATAACGAACTATCAGCGACATGGCAGGATGAATTTGGATTATAAGAGGATGACAGGGAACAATAAACGAAACCACCATCCCTGCCATTCCCTCTACACATCCCCCCACCATTCCCTCCCTCTCCCGCATCTCCGCCATCCAACCTGGCGACTTGTTGACAGTTATCAGCTACCAAACCTTCCAGCTATAAACGAGTTTACGCCTTTCTTCCATGCCAGAATTACTTCTCAGTCAATTCACAAGCCACCTGACGCAACGATTCTCCTCTAATGATGTGGCGTCCTGTTTGTGCCGTTCTCTAAAAGCTGAGCTCGACGAGACACGCACCTCCGTGTACGCGTCTATAGCTGCTCCGAGAAACCCTTTGTTGAAGTACTCGTTACCCTTCTGCTTCAGTTTCTCCGCCTGAAGCTCCTGCGCCGTTTTCGGCGGCATTGCGGCGCTTCAATGGGAGAGAAACAACCACCAAGAGACGCAAATCCGCTGCGAACCTTCGACTTCAAGAACTCGGTTTAGTAATCCAGGGTCGAGACTAGGTTTTGCCTAGATTCAACTCAGAATGAGCCTAATTGAGCTAATTTTGGTCCGATCTTGAGACTATATCAAGCCTGATTACGCAGCTGACGCAGCTCCGACGTTCAAATGGAGATGCCACAGCACTGACTCATGCTATAGGTATGCGGCTAAACTGATTCTAAGACAGACTGATAGGGCTTTGAGATTGATGATTACGTAGACGTGACGCGAAAGTAAGGTAGGTCGACAGACGTAGCTACTTAGATAACAGTTACAGGGAATATTTTAGATACCAGCAGCTAAGACTGTGTATTTAAGTCGAAGGTATGACTCTCTCTTGGTTAGGAGCCAAAGACAAGCTTTCCGAGCTTCGCACCAGATGCTTCTAACACCTAATGCCACGTGGTCACGTCAAACTCTTATGCTGCATCTCACGCCAGCAGCAACGGTGATGCATGGTAGTTACAAAATACAAATGCAGTCACAGCAGTCGCCTTGGGATTCGGGATATGGGGAGAGCCATTGCTTCTGCTTGCAGCATGTGGAATGGAAGCACCTGGAAGCTCCTCCTCCCTGTCACTTTCAATGCCATTCACTTCTAATAAGGCCCACTACCGCATTGTAAACAAATCCAACCTCACAAAACCTCGAAAGAGACGTGACGAACCGAGCTTCATGCCCCTGAATGACTTGCATCAACTCTCGTTCTGTCAGAGCAGAGCGGAGCCGCAGTGCCAGGCACTTGGCTGTCAGAACCTCGATTTCTCCGCGTACGCGAACAGATAGCGAAAAAATGTTACACACGACTATTTGCAGTGGAGATGTGCTGATTATATTCTGGATATAAAAACTATGCAGAATAGGACCCACATCGATTTATGGATCAATTTAAGAACATTATTATTTTTTACAGCAAGAAAGGCACAACTGCCTTTCTTTGTTTCGGATAATCTTCAAATTTCTGCAAGTACCACCTATGGTGGGACACTGCACGTGGCACGAGATTGGCACACGCAAATACAAAGAAAGCCAATCCCGCCCAAGACCACGTCAATATGGCCCAGCCCAACCACTCAGCCAGCTCTCCAGAGTAATTCGGGCAGGAAACCAGGTGAAAAAGCGGCCCTCTAGGAATCATGTACCCTTTGTCTTGAGGGTTTTTCCTTAGAGCAAGAAGAGCTGAATCGGCCGCAATGTTGATTATGAAACCGAGGAGAAACAGAGAGGAGCCAATGCGAAACTGCATTGACGAGAGCCATGATAGCGGATAATTCTCAGCGCCTCCCACTCTGCACAACACAAGGACATTGGCAATGTTGGTGATCAACCGAGGAGGAACAGAGAGGAGCCAATGCGACTGCATGGAAGAGAGCCATGAAAGAGGATACTTGCCAGCGCCTCCCACCCTGTACAACAATGGTGAGAAAAAATATAGGTCAAATTGTAAGAAACAGGGGGCGAGAAAAAGGGGGTACTGCGAGAAAGTTAACAGGTGCAGTAAAGGGGAACAGCTAAGTCACCTTTATCAGGACCAGCAGATTCACTAGGAGCATGGCAGTACTGCTTACTGCAGGTCCATCGAGCACCCTCATTGAAGTGATCCCTACACAGATTCCTTGTACACGTTCGTGGCAGGCTCGTTATTGCTTTCTACTGGTCTCTCCATCAGAGTGCACCAGCACGATTATTCATTCCTCCCTCACTCACTGCCGTCCTTGAGTAAATCCGTTGAGAAAAGAGGATGTTGCAGCAGGGCACCAGCCGGCAACCAGCAAGCAAGCAAAACTCATTCCCACTCACTGCCGTTCCTGCATGAATCCATTGCAGGTTGTAACAGAACGCCAGCCAATCAGCCAGCAAGCAAGCAAGCAGCATCCTTCACTCGCACTCACTGCTGCTGCTGCTGTATAGATCCGTTAAGCAGGTTGTAGAAGGACGCTAGCCAACCATCAAGCAAGCAAGCAAGCGAGCGAGCGAGCGAGCACTCAACCGAGCTAGCAAGCAGCATGTCATTCGCACTCACTGCCAGCCCTGCATGAAGCCGTTGAGCGGGCTGTAGCAGAACGCCAGCCAGCAAGCAAGCAAGCATCATTCCTCACCCTCACTCACTGCCGTTCCTCACTCTCACTCACTGCCATCCCTCACTCTCACTCACTGCCAGCCCTCATCCCCACTCACTGCCAGCCCTGCATGAAGCCGTTGAGCAGGTTGTAGCAGAAACCCAGAAAGCACGCAGGGCAGCAAGAAGGCGAGCAAGCACACACCGAGCAAGCAAGCAGCCAGCACCCCTCACTCGCACTCACTGCCAGCCCTGCATGAAGCCGTTGAGCAGGTTGTAGCAGAACGCCAGAAGCATCACCGTCACAGGCATCGTCTTGCCCTCAGCTCGCATCCGCATCGGGTAAATCACCACCCGGTGAAAATAGTGCACCAGATAAAACGCCATAATTACTGGTGCCGCATCCGTCGCCTCCGATACCGCTGCCGCCGCACCCGCCGTTGATCCTGCTTTCCGATCTGCCACGTGGCAGCCGTGCCAGCCCCAGCTGAACGCCATGGCGGAAAGCCAAAGCGCGGGGCTCTCCATGACGATCCACGCGAGCCGCGCGGGGATTAAGGGACCCCAGCCGGGTCGCACGTGTCGACCGTAAGGCGCGGAGATGAATGTTGTGGCGAGGCAGGCTACAGGAGCGAGGAGGAACATAACGGGTACGGCGATTCCGAAGAGGGAGGCGAGAGTGGAAACTGACGGCGGCTCGAGCATCGTGACGCGAGTGAGTAGATCACGCGATTGGGCGAAAAGCGCTTCCATGTTTGCGTCGTCTCGAAACTAGTAGGGTGATAATCCAAGCATCGTCTGACGGAATAAATTTTGTGCTATGGAGTGAAACGTGCCTGCAGCGTCGGGGTCGACAGGTGAGGGCGTGAAGATATAGAGGAAACTAGCAGATAAGGTGCTGTTCGCCAGGAAATCGTAATTTGAAATGAAAAAAATGGCATCGGCATCGCGACCGCATCTGGAAACGGAGTCGTAACCCACCTCCGAGGTTTGGCCGTAATGCCGTTCAAGAAACTTCTGCGCCTGCGGTTGCGAAATTTCGCAACCGCATCGGGAACCTCCGTCCCCACCTTCCCCCCAATCCCCTTTGAACGGCAATGCGACGGCTGTGCCATCGCTGTGCTTCGAAAAACGCAGCGGCCCTGCTCGACAGGCAGGCACCTCCTTGGAGCGCTAGGGTTAGGCTAGAGCTAAGAGGTGATTTCGAAGTAACTTCTCCTAGCCCACCCCCCCCTCCCCCCAAATCGGAAGCAGCGCCTCCCAAGGTCGGAAGGAGGGGGCTGTCATGGCGATGTTGCAGCCCCTCCTTCCACCATCTTCATCGTGGGCAGGGATGAAAATTTGTGGAGGGATGGCATGGGCACCAGGGTAAATCAAGGGAATAAAAAAACGTGCACTTCTCTCTCTGACTGGTTTGGTTGTTGGAGGATGGGACATTTTCAGGGCAGAGATGGGAGAGATTAGGGCACGGGCTCTGGTGGGAATTTTTTCGTAGAGTATGGGGTGGGTATTCCCTCCCGTATGAAACCAATGCCTAGCCCTTCTGGGGATTGGAAGGCTGGGCTAGAGCTAGGCTAAAGTCTACGCTTGAGAGAAGGGGCTGGGAGCTTTCGGGGGGGCTGAACTTGAAGGGTTAACGTCGCGTTCGACAGGCTAACCCTTAACCCTTCATGATACAGAGCGTTAAAGCCCAAAAACACCAGATTGCGGGCTGACCGCTGAAAAAAAAGCCTAAGTCGAAATAGCCGCGAACGTGCCGCGGAAGGGTTTGCGTGCCTGTCGAGCAGGGCCAGCATGGCGATGGCATGGCTTGGGGATGGAACTTTGCCTGGGGACGAAGTTGCGTCCCCGCTTCCATATGCCGTCGAGCAGTTCGTTTTGGTTGACAAATGGGGGCGTTCGCAAGACACCCACTTTGATTGTTGGTTTGGACAATTGGGGAGGCTCGGCACCTTTTTTACGGGCTGACCAGGCTGACGGAGGTAAACGAACCCTAACTGACGGGATCAGGAAGGCGAGACCCACCTTCCTGATCCCGTCGTTATCCCATAGTTTTTTGCTTCATTGGTGCTGGCGAACAGCCCCGAAATATGGATAGAAGAAGTGTGTCAGGAGTTGACTACGGGCGAGATTGACATATGCAATGGTTAAGTTCGGTGCGCAGCGTTTCTGAAAGTGGTGTACCTGAAAACCGTTCTCAAACGTGAAGAAAAGCTACGAACCGAGATAGACGAACCCTAAACAACATTTACATTCTATCCCCCCTTGTCTGGCTTCCGTAAATTCAAAACGCGCACTGCCAGCAGCGAGTCTTTCAGCCGAGTTGCGAACTAGAATCTAGCGAGAGAGCAAGCCGGTCCCGGCTGATTCTCGTCAGTCCCATTTGGAGCCTTGCAGATCAGTGGTAGTGCCTCGTCACGTAGTGTGTTGTTGCCGTGGCGCTGGGGCTTCGAGAGGCTCTTTCGGTTGCGAGTCGATTCGAGCCTAGAGAAGAGCACTTACAAACTCATCTGCTCACGAACGAGCTTCGAAAACCCTTGGAAACGTGAGGAGTGCAAACGAGCATGGCAGAATAGCTCTCGCAGATTCAATGCTTGCAGCATAGCGTTAGCTTCGATAGGATACCGCAGTTTCAGTTTCGACTCTGACTGATACCGCGAATATTCGGATTAAATAGAAGCAGACATGTTCAAGTGCCTGCTTATAACGAATAAGACAGGGAATATTCTCTTGGAAAGGTGAGGAATTGACAAAGAGTCCTCCTCCCTCTCCTCGTTCCTGCTCACCTTCCTCGGTCCTCGTCCCTCTCCTCTTCCTACTCGCCCCTCTCGTCGTCCTCTCTGTCCCTCTCCTCGAGCAAGGCAACTGAAGGACAAAGAGGACACGGGCAAGAAGCGGGAGTGGCAGTTGAAATGAGAGTTTTTTGAGACGTATCAGAAGCAACCTCTTCCTACTACTCGCCCCTCTCGTCGTCCTCTTTGGCCCTTTCCTCGAACAAAGCAACAGAAGGACTGTTAGGCAGTCAAGGGCAAGAAGCGGGAGCGGCAGTCGGCTCAAGCCGTTACCTTGTTTTCTCCACCTGTGATTGATATACCAGACCAGTCAGATCCCGTTTTTGAATTAACTAAGATTTTTCTCCTCCCATGCCTGATCCACCTGACCAATCAGATTCCACGGGCTATCAGCGGACGAGCGCGGCCAATGGCGTGCGTTCCTCTTCAAGCTGGGTCACGACAATCTCTCCACCGCTGTGCCTGAAGAGCAATTCGTGGCCTGTTACAAGTAGGTGTTACAAGTAGGTGTTACAAGTAGGTGTTACAAGTAGGCGTTACAAGTAGGAGTTACAAGTAGGTGTTACAAGTAGGCGTTACAAGTAGGTGTTACAAGTAGGCGTTACAAGTAGGTGTTACAAGTAGGTGTTACAAGTAGGTGTTACAAGTAGGTGTTACAACTAGGTGTTACATTGCACTGCTCGATAGAAAAAAGAGCGTTCCTCTTCAAGCTGGGTCACGACAACCTCTCCACAGCAGTTCTTGAAGAGCATTTCGTGGTTTTTTACAAGTACGTGTGACAAGTAGGTGTTAGGCGTTACGAACAAGTGTCACAAGTAGGCGTTACAAGTAGCTGTATACAAGTAGGCGTTACAAGTAGCTGTATACAAGTAGGTGTTACACGTAGGTGCTTCACCACCCAACGACACCTGCGTGGTTTGGTTGCAGTTGTTGCTGTCTCTCCTGCCCAGTTGACTTATTCCCCTTCTCGCTCCTCAATGCATCCCCTCGCCTCCCTCATTTCCTTTTGAATCCTCCATTGTCTCGCCTCACCCTCCTCCCTTCACTCCTCACCCCTCTCGCCTCCCCTCCCCTCCCCTCCCCCTTCTCTCCCTGGCCACATTTAGCACCACTCAGTGCTGAAATCTCCGCACCTTTTCTTTTCCTGAGCTGTGTGGTTGTTATTCGTCTCACCTCATCTCCTCACTTCATCCCTTCATCTCGCCTCCCCTTATTTCGCCTCAACCTCAACCCATCCCAGCAACACCTACGTGGTATACACGTCTATTTCTGACATCCCTGCGTTCTGTGCATACGTTCCCCTCCTATCCATTCACCCCATTCCCTCCCCTCACCCTCTCCCCTTCCCTCCCCTCATCCCAGCAACACCTACGTGGTCTACACATCTATTGCTCACATCCCTGCGCCCTAACAACCTCCCCCTATCCCATTCCCATCACCCCATCCCCCCCATCCCATCCCAGCAACACCTACGTGGTCTACACATCTATTGCTGACATCCGCATCTACCTCATTGGGGACGACGAGTACGATGAGCTGGCATGTGAGTGTGCTGAGCTGTCATGTGAGTACGCTGAACTGGTCTCGAGTATGCTGAGCTGGCGGGTGAGTATGGTGAGTGTTTTTGAGAATTCTCAAAAACACCGGTGAGTTGGCGAGTTGCTTGCACCTGCCATTTGGGTATGCTGCTGAGCTGGCAGGTGAGTACGATGAGCTGGCATGTGTCTCCCGCACTGCATCTGCCTGTACACTCTAAGTCATATACATCCTGAGCCTCTTCAATCCTTCCTGATCCTCCCTGATCCTCCCTGATCCTTCCTGATCCTCCCTGATCCTTCCTGATCCTCCCTGATCCTTCCTGATCCTCCCTGATCCTCCCTGATCCTTCCTGATCCTCCCTGATCCTCCCTGATCCTTCCTGATCCTCCCTGATCCTTCCTGATCCTCCCTGATCCTCCCTGATCCTTCCTGATCCTCCCTGATCCTTCCTGATCCTCCCTGATCCTCCCTGATCCTTCCTGATCCTCCCTGATCCTTCCTGATCCTCCCTGATCCTTCCTGATCCTCCCTGATCCTCCCTGATCCTTCCTGATCCTCCCTGATCCTCCCTGATCCTCCCTGATCCTCCCTGATCCTCCCTGATCCTCTCTGATCCTCCCTGATCTGTTCTGAGCCTTCTATCGTATTGCCACCCCTCTTGGTATCGTTTCAACTCCTCTCTCGCCAGCCATGTCTCGAGAGGAAGGGAGTGGCCACTCCTCTCTCGCCAGCCATGTCTCCCTCGCGCCCACTCCCTTCCTTCCCCTCTAATCGAAGACAACTGTTTTTCTTTTCTCCCATGATTCTCCACTTGCTCACTGTGAAGTATTTCAGATTCTTTTCCCACAATGCTCATTGTAACATCCACCCACCCGCACTTTCTCCCACAACCCCCCCTTCAACCCACCCGTCCCGTCCCCCCTTTCCGCTCCTCCCCAACCCCATTCCCTCCTCTTCCCTGATATTCACTGCTGGAGATCCTCACCATGATTCTCGATCTGCTCCGGGCGTCATGCACTTCCCACCTCTTTCTTCTCCCCTTTCCTCTTGTCCACCCCGCGCCCCCCCCCCCCCCCCCCCTCTCAACACCCAGTGTCGGAGATCCTCACTATGATTCTCGATCTGCTCCGGGCGGCGTGCAAGCGCACGCCGACCCAGGCGGCGCTGCTGGACCGGTATGGCAAGGTTTGTCTGTGTCTGGACGAGGTGATCGCGCAGGGCCGGGTGGAGCACATGGAGGTGGACCGCATCCTGCGCCTCTCCCGTTTAAAGCCCTTGGATGCTTCGTGACATGTTGACAAGGCAATAGAGGCAATAGAGGTGGTAGCAGTGATCGCGCAGGGGAGGGTGGAGCACATGGAGGTGGATCGAATCCTGCGCCTCTCAAGGCTGAAACCACTCGATGCGTCATAAGAACAGGGATACTGATACAGTAGAGGCGATTCAGAGACAATAGAGTGGGTAGTGGTGATCGCGGAAGGGCGGGTGGAGCACATGGAGGTGGATCGAATCCTGCGGCTCTCCCGTTTAAAGCCCCTGGATGCTTCGTAACATGTTAACATTGCAATAGAGGCAGTAGAGGTGGTAGCAGTGATTTCACAGCGCAGGGCAGGGTGGAGCACATGGAGGTGGATTGGATTCTCCGGCTGTCGCGTTTAAAGCCCTTGGATGCCTCGTAACATCAGATTTACATCATAGAGGCAGTACTGGTGATAGAGGTGATCGCACAGGGCAGGGTGGAGCGCATGGAGGTGGATCGAATCCTGCGCCTCTCTCGGTTAAAGCCCCGGGATGCTTCGTAGCTGCACTGCACTTGCTATTCTATGAGGATACATGAGCGAGGGGATTACAGCTGGTAGGTGTGATGTGATGGCGCGGGGCAGGGTGGAGCACATGGAGGTGGGCGGCATCCTGCGCCTCTCCCGTTTAAAGCCCTTGGATACATCATAGAGATAATTGTGTTGATAGAGGTCATGGCGCGGGGCAGGGTGGAGCACATGGAGGTGGACGGCATCCTGCGGCTTTCACGGTTAAAGCCCCTGGTCGCTTCGTAACATGTTGACACGGCAATAGAGAGGCAATAGAGGTTGTAGCAGTGAGCAGCTAATTCGAGTGCGTGGATAACTTGCATGTATGGACGAGGCAATAGAGGAGAAAGAGGTGATTGCTTGGGCACAGCAGGGCAGGGTGGAGCACATGGAAGTGGACTGCATCCTGCACTGTGCCTCTCTCGCCGCTGGAACCATTGGATGCTTCGTAGCAGCACCAGAGGTCCTCCATCCGTGCTCCATGAATAATACCGTAAATTACAGTGTAACGGTTTCTTTTGATTTCTGAGTTCAGTAATGGTTCATTAGTGCCTGCACTGTGCTCAGCAATTAGGTGATGACATTACATACCAGCATGACATGCCTCGGGTCAGAACACCAGAGAACATGCTTGTACGAGTAACAAAAAGGCGCTGACTTCCCAGAAATACCGGTACCATATCTGGTACCACCAATACAGAACATAACCTGTAGAGGCCAATGTAGTGCAAAGGGGCTACCAGATATATTGGTACCAAGGTAAAGAGCTTCCATCCACTCCTTGACCCCCAAGGAGCTTGGAAATTAGAATGGAGGAGCTTGTTGCAGATATGCCGTAATAAATAACGTTTTGTCCAGAGGATTATTGTTTCTGGGGCTAGAAAAATTATGTAACTTGTACGTAAGTAGCAGCTTCTATAATGAACCCCTACAGTTTCCCTTCCCAGCTAGCCCGAGACACCAGGGCATGTTTCGATGCCATAACCCACAGCCAGGGAAGACCAACCTCTACTCCAGCCCAGCCTCTGCTAGAGCCCACAGCTTGTGGCCCTAGGCCCCCACCCACCGCCCTTCCTTCCAACCCCTCCTACACACGCAGCCACGCACATGCTGATAATCATTCAGACTTTTTTCAGTAAACATTGCAATCATCCAACAAGCAGCCCAAGACATTTTTCAGCTTCCTGCATGCCCCTGCACCTCCGCACCATCTTCTTCCCACGCTTTTTACTGAACAGCCAGCCTGCAGGCTGCACCCCCTTCCACTCACAGCGTGGCCAGCTCGCTCCTCTCCACCAGGCATCACCGCTCCCAACCCATCCAGTCCCACTCCATCCACACGACTCCACCAGTGGCTTGAGCCCTACTTCCTGCTCCCCCTCTTTCCCACTCCCCATGCTTCAATTGCCTGCCTGCCATCCCCTCCCACTGGCAGCGACTCACAGGCCTCGAGGGGCGCACCATCCTCTTGGGCAGCCACAGACATCTCCACCACGCATCACCGCCCTCAACCCATCCAATGCAACAACAAACCCTGCTCTTCAACCAACCAGTGGCCTAAAAGCCCTACTTCCTGCTCCCCCTCTTTCCCACTCCCCATGCTTCAATCGCCCGCCTGTCATCCCCTCCCACTCGCAGGGAAGCACGGGCCTTCAAAGGCTGCACCATCCTCATCGCCAACCCGTAGCTCTCCACCGCAGACAACCGCTCTCAACTCATCCAATCGAATCCTACTTCCTGCTTCCCCTCTTCCCCACTCCCCACGCTTCAATCGCCCGTCTCCCATCCTCTCCCACTCGCAGTGACGCACGGGCCTTCAGAGGTTGCACCATCCTCATTGCAAGCCCATACCTCTCCTTCAAATCCACCTTGTTACAATCTCCCCCGTTATATCCACTCCCGTTACAGTCACTCTTATAAGAGCCTGTAACAGGCGCTTCCCAGTTGAAGGCGTGCACGAGCCGACCCAGCATGATGGTAACCAGCTGGTGCCCGAGCCTCTGCCCGACACACATTCGCCTGCCCGAACCAAACGGCAGCAGGCGGAAATCAAATCCTCTCATATCCACCTCCTCCCCCACTATCCGCTTCACACCCTCCCCTGTTCCGCTCTCGGGCAGCTCGAAAACTTCTCCGGGCAGGAACCGCTCCGGCACGAACCTGTCAGGCTCGGGCCAGAGGCTCGGGTCGCGCGAAATAGACCACACATTAACTAGCACCATAGTCCCTGCAGGAACCCTGTACCTGCCGCTACAGAGATCTACAGGGCCAGTGGTACTATGGGCGATCAGGAACGCGCCTGGAGGGTGCATACGAAGCATCTCTTTCACGACTGCCTGGAGATAGGGTAACCGCATGAGCAACGCTTCGCCCCCCGTCTGCTCCCACGCCGCCTCGAGATCCGATTGCGATTTGATCTTATCCGATTCGTGATCTCTGTGCCACTGTTCTAGCGCGCCGTCTATCTCCGCTTGTAGCCGCTTCATTGCATCTGGCCGGTTAACTAGTTCCGCTAAAGCCCACTCTGTGCTAACCGCTGCAGTGTCTGTACCCGCTACAAGCAGATCCTGTAGCAGCGAAGTGATCTCCACGTCATCTACCACCAAGCCAGACCCAGCCGCCGCCGCTGCTCCTGCCGCTACCGCTGCAGCAACAGGGGTTTTACCAACCCCGAACCCAGAACCCCCGTTCACGGAACCATTTACACCTTTAGATTCTTCCTTAGCATCAGCGCTGGCACTGCCATTCATCTGCTTTTGCTGCTGCTGCTGCTGCTGCTGCTCTTGTTGTTGCTGCTGCTGCTGCTGCTGCTCTTGTTGTTGCTGCTGCTGTTTCTGCAGCATCAGAAGCACATCTAAAAAGTCCCTCTCCGGATCTTCCGGATTCTCTAAAGGTGCGAACGTGGAAGCATCTTCCATCACCCCGCGCCTCTGCTCACCCTCGCTACCCGTCCCTTCCGTCCCCTCCCCCTCCCCTTCCGCCGCCGCCGCCGCCGCCGCTTCCGCTGCCGCCGCTTCCGCCTCTTTCGCGCGCTTCCCCTCCTCCTCTCTCCGCATCCTGCGGTGGTCGTCCAGCACTCCCCGGAAGAATTTCTGAAGCTTCGGCGCAAGTACGCGGCACTTGCCTGTCAGCCCGCCGGTCCACTTGTCGAACCAATCCCATTCCGCCACGTGGTCGACGTAGTTAAACGGCCCTAGGAGCCCCGCGATCTTAAAGATCACGGAGTTAACCTCGTCTGCGAGAGCGTCCGGCTTTCCCGGGCGGCTGAACTGGTACCGCCGCCCGCAGCTCATGCGGAGAATATTGTTCAGAGACACCCGCGCTAGATGCGGGCGGATCTCGACTTCCGCCCACGCGGAACCCTCCGCTTCCCCCGCCGCTTTTTCCGCCGCAGCGATCTCATCGACCACCGCAGCCACCATCCCCTCCGCCTCGTCCGCCCGCACTCCGCGCCAAGCCGCGATGCGCTCCGCCGTGAATAGGTGGCTCGTCGCGAGCTTCCGCCGATGCACGAAAGGCGGCCCGTACGGCGCGAACACGAGATCGCGCGGTCCGTGAGTTAATAACGCGGACGTGATCGCCGCCGGCCGCGATGCGCATGCCATGTCAGCATCCCGCAAAACCTGGCGCGCTGCGGCTGGAGAGGAGAGGACGACCGTTGGGGTTCGGCCGAGACGCATCCCCATTACTGGACCGTAGATCTCCGCGAGATCCGTGATCCGACGGTGCGGATCGCCATCGCGGAGGATGTCAGGCAGACTGCCGAAGAACGGCAAACCCCAGGGACCTGGAGGGAACTTTCCGCGAAGCCACAGCACCCAGGTGGACGACCAGATCGCGGACGATCCGGTTACCAGTTTCGCCTCGCCCTCGCCGGCTTTCGCACCCTTTCGCTTACGACTGGAGGATGACGTGGAAAAGAAGAGGAGAGAGACGGCTGGGATAAACCCGAGTAGGAGGAGGAGGAGAGTAGGGAGGATGGGGACGGAGAGAGTGTGAGGGGTGGGGGACCAGGGAAGGTCGATGTGACCCCATGAAAGCAGTGATTGCGCGTTGGGCCGAGGGATAGCCCAGGTAATGCCTCCCCAACCCATCCTGTGGCCTGGTCGTCTAGATGATGCTGCTGGCGGACTGTGATTTCAAATAGGGCGACACGAGACTAGGTAGAGAAGCTGGTTTACAGGTAAACCGGACGTTGGTTGAGCTAGTGAAACAAAATGCGTTCTTTGCCAGGAGAAGCGTGATCGAGATGGGCGTTCATAAAAGCATTATGGCAAATGTGCCACACCCGGGGCAGGACGGGACTAGAAAAGTCTCGAAGCGGAATGCTCCAGTCCAGGGCTAGTAAGAGACGACGCAAACAGCTGAACAAGCTGCTAAACAAGCTGTTCCGACCTGCTAGGCTGAACCGTGATAATTTCATCATCCATGGCCACACGTTGGAGATGGGGAAAATAAAGCCCGGCATTTGGGACAGGGGCTAGTAACTTTGTAACCATCCGACTTTTTTGCATTGTGAGAGTTTGAGAAATGGATCTGCTGTTGCGAAAGAATGGATGTGACAGTCAGGCCAAGAAGCGACAATGACGAAACTGTGCGAAACTACTGAGATGTGTCAGAAACGCGCTGCGAAGTTACAGAGAGCAGTTGTTTCTCCCCTTCGCCAGAATGTCATGCGGAATCCCGTGCCACACCAGATCAGTCAATCCGAGTCAGAATTCCAGGGCGACGAGATGAGGTGACCCCTCGGCAGTTTCGGAGGGGAAGCTCGTGACTCCCGATGACGTAAGAGCCGCTGGATTAGATGAGAATGCTTCACACAACCTGGTCCACGTGTAAAGAGCATCCAGCCTACAGTTTGACGTGGACATGGATTCGATGCCACAGGAACAGCCATTCATTATTATCAGAGGACCACAAACACACCTCCCATACACTCATGATAGGTACTCACCACCTAAACGCCTATCACAAAAACCTATCCTAAGTATGGCCTGCGATGCAATGTCATAGATAGCATGCACCAATGCGTGAGATGCTAATATAATAAATATTTTGATTCCTTATTTCAGCCAAGATGACATGATGAAAAAAAAACAAGATTTGGTGACAAAACGATTATTGTGCAGTCTAACAGAAAGTAGCTGTGCCTCCATATATACATGAATGCAATGTAGTGACTCTAATGCTATACCCATGTTCCGTTGTCGAGTTTCGATCCAATACAGAAATTCTGGCGGCGCAACCCCCCCTGCGCCTCGCAGCAGAAGATTATGATGAACAAGACACAAGTGAGGAGCAGAATCGCTCGCTGCTGAACTGTTCCGTTGGCATTAGGGACTGTATTGATGGACGTTTCGCTCGTAGTCCGGACCAGACCAATAGCCAGGCGCAGCGGGGCGGGGTGCAGTTGCGGTCGGTTCAGCTGAATTCTTTGGTGGCACCGCCCCCCTGCCTCCACCAACCGACCAAGCCCAAGCCATTGTAGCAGTTTTTACCTATTCGAACGCATTATATCGTACTGCACCGTACATTACTGAAGCAAAATACAAACTAACGCCAGCTTTCGTTGAGTCGAGTCCTTCCCTTCCCTAGTTACCTTGTCCTTACATCAGGTGAGTACAGTGCTACTTATGAGTGCTTTTTAGGAGTAGCACAGGCTAGTTAAGTACAAGCAGCTTCGGTGTACTCTACGAGCAAGTACTCTAGTTAACGAACGAAGACGGAAGTCGAAACCGAATGCGCCGTCAAACGCAGGAGAAACGGATACGTGGCACACCTTAGCATTCTAGCCGCTCAGAACACTGGTTGTCCCCAGCATTTGTCTCATCCGCGGAGTCGATTTTGTTCCATATCGCAGATTAGCTTCGCAGGGGGAAGATAAGGTTGCTTGCATGCTTGTTCGTAACGGCGCCGTTCCCAGTAACTCAATCGTCCGTCCAGCCAGCTTCGGAAGATAAGGCGTTCGGGTTGAAACGCGTACAGCGTGCGCTCCGCCGACAAGGGTTCCGACCCAACCCCCCCCCCCCCCCCCACCCCCCCCTCCCCCTCCCCCCTCCTCCCCTTCCAAGATCGCTTCTTGAAAGCGTATCGCGCGAGCGCGTAGAAGATAGAGCTTCTCTGAGAGCCCGTACTACAGCGAGCCGTCACTTCAGATCCGTCGCGCCGTTTTTCTTGAGTCGACTTAAAAGCCACCTCGAAATTCTTTCGCTCAAACACCTCGTAGCATCGCCTCCCTCGCAATAGGGCCCAAAGCGCGCCACGAACGCCAATCGCCTTTCGCCGCCACGGTATGATCAACTAGCCCGCACAAGCGCTCACCATGGCCCGCACCCTCCCCCTCCTCCCCGTCCTCCTCCTCCTCGCGCTCTCCTCGCTCCTCTCCGTCTCGTGCCGCCCGAGCCCTCTCGCCACCTCCAATGCATCCCGCAAACCTGGCGGCGGGAGCCGCGGCGGGAAATCCGGCGGGAGTAAGAAGGGCGCTTCCGCGTTGAGCTGCCCGTCGCCGTGGCCGGAGCTCGACAGCTGCCCCACCAGCGAGTCGCTCCCGCAACTCGAGGTGCGCCTCTTGTGCTCTGACATTTCGCGTTTCGCGTCTCGCGTGTTGCGCACCGACACGTGGGCCGCATACGTTGTCAGGGACATTTAACGACAGGACCCTCCTCCACCCCATCCCCCACCTTCCCCCCCCCCCCCCCCCCCCCCCCCCTCCCTCTCTCCCCATCTCCCCCACCCCAACTCCCGCTTCATTCTCTTGCCGCCCACCAGGATTCCCAAACGGAGTTCCCAGGAGCGGTGTGGGGCGCGCTGCGGCCGCACAAGGTGCCCGGGGTGCGCAACAGCCCAGCGGATGCCACGTGGCTGAACAAGGACGAGCGCGACACGGCGGTCTACATCGAGGAGTGCTGCTCGCTGTGCGCGCTCAACGACCAATGCGAGTACTGGACGTTCACGCGGAGGCTCGATTCCATCAAAGGTGCGCTCTTCCCTCTTCCGCGTCCCCCCTCCTCCTCTCTTCCTTTCACCGTCTGTAGTTTGAATTTTGACCCCCTCTTCCTCCTTACCTCAATCGTCCCGCCGTCCCCCTGTTTCCCTTCCCTCCCCCCCCCCCCCCCCCCCCCGCTCCACCGCCAGGCACGTGACAGCTGTTTTCCAGCCAGCAGTTCGCCCCCAGCAAAACCTACTCTGCCATCTCCACCCCCGCTTTCTCTCTGTTCCTGTTCCCACATCCCTCTCCCCATTTTCTCGCTCCTTCCCCTTCTCCCCCCCACCGCCAGGCACATGTCAGCTGTTTTCCAGCCAGCAGTGCGCCCCCAGCAAGGCCTACTCCGCGCTCTCCGTCCCCGCCTCCTCTCTGTTCCTGTTCCCACATTCCTTTCCCCATTCCCTCCCCTCTTCCCCCTTCCCCCCCCTCCCTTCCCCCCCACCCCCCCCCGCCCTTACCCCACCGCGGCACATGTCAGCTCTTCTCCAGCCAGCAGTGCGCCCCCAGCAAGGCCTACTCCGCGCTCTCCCGCCCCGCCTCCTCCCTGCTATTCTTGTTCCCACACCTTCCTTTCCCCGGCCCCTCTTTCCCCCCCATCCCCTCCATCCCCCCCCACCCTGCCCCCACCGCCAGGCACGTGTCAGCTCTTTTCCAGCCAGCAGTGCGCCCCCAGCAAGGCCTACTCCGCGCTCTCCCGCCCCGCCTCCGCCCCCGCCTCCTCCCCCCGCACCCACCACCCCGTCTCCTCCCCCAAAGTCTCCTTCTCCTTCCGCAAGGCGCCAAAAGACGCCGCCCTTCCGACCCCGGGCAGCTCCGACGGCACGGGCGGCAATGGCGGAGCGGGCGGTGGAACAGGCGCAGGGACGGCAGGCGGGGGACTGGATGATCCTCTAGCGGGGACAGGGGGAAGCGGAGGGGACAGCAGCAGCGGTGGCAACAGTGGCAGCGGTGGCAGCAGTGGCAGTGGTGGAGGCAGCAGCACCGGAAGCAGTAGCACCACTACCACAGGCAACACCACCTGTCCTTCCTTCTCCGGCTGTCTCTCCGCCTGTCCAGCTGGCACCAGCGCAATCACGCAGTTATACAGCGACACGTCAGCGCCTGCCACGTCAGCAGCGGCTAACGTGGCGCGGGGGAGGCTGTACGGTGTGGAATCGCCGGCAGCGGGGTGGAGCGTGATTGGCGAGGCGGGGTATTTGAGCATTGGGGGGTGCTGCCAGGCGTGTAAGGCGGGGGCAAGCAATGACTGCTACTACTGGACATGGCAACACGATCCCACGGAGGGGGATTATGACAGAGGTGAGGCAAACGATAGAGGTGCATTGCGGAAATGCGGTTGATCTTGGTTGAATGTGGTGGAGTGGGGTGGACGAGACCGGGTATCTGAGCATTGTGGGGTGCTGTCAGGCGTGTAAGGCGGGGGCGGCAAATGACTGCTACTACTGGACATGGCAACACGATCCCACGGAGGGGGATTATGACAGAGGTGAGGCGGTTGGCTGTGGTGGAATGCAGTTGATTTTGATGGAATGCTGTTGAATGCAGTTCAATGCGGTGGAAGAGGCTGGTCATTCGAGCAGTAGCGCGTGCTGTGAGGTGTGCAAGGTGGGGGCCACTCCCAACTGCTACTACTGGACATGACAGCACGGGGCAAAGGAGGGGGACCACGACAGAGGTTTGTCTGCTGGAAACACACCCCCTTTGTGTGTGTGTGTGTGTGTGTGCGCGCGCGTGCGTGCGTGCGCGTGCGCGTGCGTGCGTGCGTGCGTGCGTGCGTGCGTGCGTGCATGCATGCGTGTATGTGTGTGTGTGTGTGTGTGTGTGTGTGTGTGTGTGTGTGTGTGTGTGTGTGTGTGTGCTTTTCTTTAAATATAGTACCGTAACACTGCCTGTCTGCTGGCTTCATGCCTCTTTGTCTCCCTGTACTCCCCCCATCCCTCCCCACCCCACCCCAGGGCTGTGCACGCTGTTCCACAGCCAGGCGTGTCGCTTCATGACAGAAGACGGCTTTCTGGAAACACCCTTGACCTTCCTATTACCCCTCCTTTTCGTAACCTCCTGCCTGTCCTCTGCCACCCTGTCCCCCTCCCATCCCCATCCCTCCCCACCCCAGGGTTGTGCACGCTGTTCCACAGCCAGGCGTGTCGCTTCATGACAGAAGACGGCTTTCTGGCAACACCCTTGACCTTCCTATTACCCCTCCTTTTCGTAACCTCCTGCCTGTCCTCTGCCACCCTGTCCCCCTCCCATCCCCATCCCTCCCCACCCCAGGGTTGTGCACGCTGTTCCACAGCCAGGCGTGTCGCTTCATGACAGAAGACGGCTTTCTGGCAACACCATTGACCTTCCTATTACCCCTCCTTTTCGTAACCTCCTGCCTGTCCTCTGCCACCCTGTCCCCCTCCCATCCCCATCCCTCCCCACCCCAGGGTTGTGCACGCTGTTCCACAGCCAGGCGTGTCGCTTCATGACAGAAGACGGCTTTCTGGCAACACCCTTGACCTTCCTATTACCCCTCCTTTTCGTAACCTCCTGCCTGTCCTCTGCCACCCTGTCCCCCTCCCATCCCCATCCCTCCCCACCCCAGGGTTGTGCACGCTGTTCCACAGCCAGGCGTGTCGCTTCATGACAGAAGACGGCTTTCTCTCTCCCCCCGTGTTTGACCCTGCACAGACCAACACGTTTATGTTTCCACTGCCCTGTTACTCTGCTGTGTAACCGTTACTGGGTGATAATGTATTATATTATATATATATGTTTGCAAGTCTCAACATGTATTATAGATGACACCATATATATCTAACCCTGAGGTGTCCTACAATCAATGATTGTTTTACCGGTACCATTTACCGGAATGTTCTTCCACGATGTTACAGTATGAGTTGTACTATGCGGAAGACTTCTACAAAGTGAATGTGACCATGCAATGAAGGAAGCGAGCAATTATAGGGAATGTCCTAGCTAGGCGAGGACCTAGGGACATGCGAGGTTAGGAAATGTGGCGATTGGTGCAGGAGCTACTCGGATGTGGTTCGGTCGAGGCTGAAGGCTGAGCCCAACTGACGCGATGCTTTCGGGACATCCCCGCTAAGGTCAGGCTACGGTAATGAATTGTGAATTCATTACACACGGTGCCTTTGCATCCCACCATCAAGCGTTGTACCACCAGGCGGATTGAAGGATGACATCCTTACGAACTGGAAAGATTTGTACACCTGCAGCACACGTTGCTTGCACAAACTCATGCACGCTTGGCACAAGAACATGCTGACATAGTAACATACAATAGCAACATGTGTGTTGAGTAACTCAGTAACAAACATCTCGTAGCGTATGCGCATGCATGTACAACAATAACCAGCATAGTCCGGCCAGAATCCAAGCAAAAGCAGCATGGGATGACATGGTGACATGGTGACGTGGTGAGGAGCACTTCATGTTGCATGAGCATGCATGCTAGCTCGGAGGCTGGAACATCTCATTGATCGTGCGTTGCCATGCCATGCTGCCTCCTCGCATCCCCACCACCACCCCCACAGCCTTCTACAGTCACACTGCTAGTGAATATCACCCCCATACGTCAAACTTCCCACCACCCACTAGCTCGGCGGCTGAAACATCTCACTGATCGTGCGCTGCCTCTTCTTCTCATCCCCACCCCCACACCCCGTTACAGTCACACCTCCATCAGTCACACCCCCGTGGGTAAGCTCCCCCCACTTCCCACTGCTCTGCTCCCCCTGCTGCTCATCGCCCCCTCCCTTCTTCCTGCCTGCAAGAGCAGCAGCAGGGGCAGCATGGCGAGGGTCCTTGTGCACCTGCAGCGACTGCTTCTGCTCTCCGTCCATCACCTGTCGGAGGAAGGGTGGGGTTTGGCGCCACATGAAGGAGCAGTGCCACATTCACACATTCACAGACACGTGAGTCGCAAGAAAAAGCAGAGGGGGCAAGGCAACATGGCGGCATGGCGAGGGTCCTTCCTTGTGCACCTGCAGCGACTGCTTCTGCTCTCCGTCCATCACCTGTTGATGCAAGAAGGGCAAACTCATACACATGACTCGCATGAGGATGGGGTATGGCAACAGCGCATGCATATATGCCCTTGCACTCATTGCCTTGTCTCAACAAGCCAACAAGCTCACACAACCACATGTTCCCCTACTTAGCAGCCCCGCACACCGGGCATCAGGAGGATTTGACCTTTGGAGCGCCTCAAAAGTTGTATCTTAGATTAGCAGGCCGACACACCGGGCATCAGGAGAATTTGATTCGGAGGCGCCTCAAAGGGTACTGCAAGGTAGGCCAGACACACCGAACATCCCACCCTGCCCGCTCATCTGCCCCAGACGCCCCACTCACTTGCCCACCCACGCACCCACCCACCCACCCACCTGTCCCAGATTCTCCAGCTTGTGCTGCACAACGCTCCTGAGAAAGAGAGGACAGAAAGACAGACGGCAAGGAACGGAGTGAGGGGGGAGGGGATTCAAACGGGGAGAATGCGGATGAGTGAGTGAGAATGAAATCGAGAAAGACCAAGCGGAGCGTCTGAAGCAGCACTGCGGCCCTTTCGGGCCGATTGAAAAGTCAACTCGCGAGTGAGAATGAAATTGAGACAGACAAAGCCGAGCGTGTCATACACCACTGCGGCCCTTCTGCTGCCTTGAGTGATTGATTGAGTGAAGTTTTTTGAAGTCTAGAGAAAAATAGGTTGAGATCGGCATTATCCAAGCGTTTCAAGGTGTTTAATGAGCACCAATTGATGCTCCCATCTAGGGAAGGGCACACAAACCCAAACACCACATGTACACTTTTCTAGGCGCTTGAAAAAAAAAAAAAAAAAAAAAAACACCACAAGAACGCAAGCACCCACCATATGAGGTCATCAATGGTTTCAGGGGCGTGAAGGTAATACACATTCACCGAATTGGCCTGGACGGCAGAGGGGGCAGAGAAGAGAAAGGCAAGAGAAGGGCAGCATACACAGAGAATCAGGGCTCTAAAACATGCAGGCGATACACATTCACCAAATTGGCCTGGACGGGGCAGAGAAGGGAAGGGGCGGTGAGGGTAGATGGGAGTTGAGGAATTAACACAACCAAAGGCGTGCTGGTAATACACGACCGCATTGGCCTGCACAGCAGAGGGGAAGGGCAGGTGAAGAGAAGAGGGCAAATACGCGAGAAGAGGGCAGATAATAAAGTGATTGGAGAGAAGCAGGTGTCATAAACATGCAGACAAGAAGAGTATTAGTAGATGGTCACAGAATTGGTCTGGACGGTAGATTAGAAAACGCTGGGTGAAGGGAAGATAAGCAGGCAACGAGCAGAGAAGCAGGGGTAGGAGAATAGGAAATGAGAGGAGATTAGTTTACAGAACCCAGGAGAGAAAGAGCACGGACCCAGGAGTAGATATTACTATCTGTAACACTACGTCCCACCCCAGGCAGCAGAGCCCACCTGCCCTATCCTGTGCGGCCTATCCCCCACCTGCAACATGTCCCCGGCGCTCCACGGCATCTCCCTCACTCTGCTTTACACCTTACAAGTCCTACCAAACACCACCTCCCACCACCGCACTCAACCCCCCATCACCCACCTGCCCAATCTTGTGCGCCCTGTCTTCTGCCTGCACCAAACCACCCCCGGTTTCCACGTCATCATCTCCTCTTCTCCCCCACCACCGCACTCGACCCCCCAGCACCCACCCACCTGCCCTATCCTAGACCCCTGTCTTCAGCCTGCACCAAGTCCCCCGGTTTCCACGCCATCATCTCCTCTTCGCCAGACCTACCCCATCACGGTGAAATACCCCTCAGAGCTGCACCATACCATCCACCACCGCATTCCACACCCCGTCACTGCATTCAACCCCCCAGCACCCACCTGGCCTATCCTGTGCGCCCTGTCCTCTGCTTGCACCAGGTCCCCCGGATTCCACGCCATCTCTGCAAACACCACCGTGCTGGCTGCTGTGAGCGTGAGACCCACCCCTGCTGCATGAATGCCCAGCTGTGAGGGAGGGAGGCAGGGAGGGGATCGGAGATGAGAGAGTGATGGAATAGAGAAGTAAATGGGTATGGTTGTGAGTCGACTCAAACACCACCGTGCTGGCTGCTGTGAGCGTGAGACCCACCCCTGCTGCATGAATGCCCAGCTGTGAGGGAGGGAGGCAGGGAGGGGATCGGAGATGAGAGAGTGATGGAATAGAGAAGTAAATGTGTATGGTTGTGAGTCGACTCAAACACCACCGTGCTGAGTCTGCAGCAACAGTGTTTTCAACTAAGCCTGCAGCGGTGGGTGTTTTCAACTAAGCCTGCAAGCACAAGTCTGTCGGTTGCAAGCACAAGTCTGTCGGTTGCAAGCAATTCAGCCTCGGAAATGGCAGCAGTCAGCCTGGGGGTGCTGCCTTCTCGCATCCCCAGCCTGGGGGTGCTGCCCTTCTCGCATCCCCAGCCTGGGGGTGCTGCCTTCTCGCATCCCCAGCCTGGGGGTGCTGCCTTCTCGCATCCCCAGCCTGGGGGTGCTGCCCTTCTCGCATCCCCAAGCCAAGCAAGGGCAGTGCAGCAGACGCATCCAAGATGTGAGGAAGGAGTTATCAGCTGATGCTCCTCTTACTCTCTTACTCTTACTTCTGCCTGCCCGCACGTCGAAACCATTACCACGCCTCAGAGAGTCCATCTCACCACGACACTCATCTCTCCACACTCCTCTCAGAGAAACAGTCTCATCACATGCACATGAGTGTCAGGATCAGTCTGGATGCGCACCACCAGGTCATGCCTCCCTTATCGCCTGAATCGTGGCATCCCCACAGCCATGTGAGTGTCCGCATTATTCCCCAGACACAGCCACACCATCGCCCCTCAGAGAAACAGTCTCACCACACGCACATCAGTGTCAGGATCAGTCTGGATGCGCACCACCAGTTCATGCCTCCCTTATCGCCTAAATCGTGGCGTCCCCACAGCCATGTGAGTGTCCGCATTATTCCCCAGACACAGCCACACCATCGCCCCTCAGAGAAACAGTCTCACCACACGCACATCAGTGTCAGGATCAGTCTGGATGCGCACCACCAGTTCATGCCTCCCTTATCGCCTAAATCGTGGCGTCCCCACAGCCATGTGAGTGTCCGCATTATTCCCCAGACACAGCCACACCATCGCCCCTCAGAGAAACAGTCTCACCACACGCACATCAGTGTCAGGATCAGTCTGGATGCGCACCACCAGTTCATGCCTCCCTTATCGCCTAAATCGTGGCGTCCCCACAGCCATGTGAGTGTCCGCATTATTCCCCAGACACAGCCACACCATCGCCCCTCAGAGAAACAGTCGCATCGCAGCCATGCGCGTGTCAGGATCAGTCTGAAAGCACGCCACCAGCTGGTGACTCATGACCCACTTAATTGTGCAGCTGGGCATCCATGCGGCAGGCGTGGGCCCCACACTCACTCACCACGGCCACATGCTCCATCTGAAAAAGCGCCAGATGCTGATGCCCCTTATTATTCCCTCACCACAGCCACACCCACGCCTCAGTGAGACAGACTCACCACACCCACCCATCATCTCACTCACCACAGCCACACGAGTGCCAGCGTCTTCCTGAAAGCGCGACACCAGATGATGCCTCTTTTCAGGCGCAGTGCCCCCGTCAATGCGAATGTACCCAACCTTCTCCTTCTGAGGGATGGGGGAGAAAGGGGGAACGGGAAAGGGGGAAAAAATGGGAAAGGGGAGTGAAAGAGGGCGAACTGGGTGCGAGGGGGTGAGGGGAGAAACGGAGAAAGACAGGATGACGAAGGAAAGTGAATGCATTGAACTGTCCAAAAAACTCTTTCAGGACACAGTCCAAAAGGTCTCCGGTTCGAACCCCAGTGTGACCCAGTTCCGTGCAATCTAAATGGCTAACTGTTGAGCAGTACCCTGCAGCTGTAGGTCAGCATTGCTCATGGCAGCACCCCCTATTAGCACAAAGTACATGCATGACCTGCTGCTAAAGCAAAACCAAGTACATGCATGGCCTGCTGCTAAAGCAAAACCAAGTACATGCATGGCCTGCTGCTAAAGCAAAACCAAGTACATGCATGGCCTGCTGCTAAAGCAAAACCAAGTACATGCATGGCCTGCTGCTAAAGCAAAACCAAGTACATGCATGGCCTGCTGCTAAAGCAAAACCAAGTACATGCATGGCCTGCTGCTAAAGCAAAACCAAGTACATGCATGGCCTGCTGCTAAAGCAAAACCAAGTACATGCATGGCCTGCTGCTAAAGCAAAACCAAGTACATGCATTGCCTGCTGCTAAAGCAAAACCAAGTACATGCATGGCCTGCTGCTAAAGCAAAACCAAGTACATGCATGCATTGCACAGTGGCATGGAGTGGCATGGCATGGCATGGTTACCTGGAAGAAGTCGGAAAGAGCATCCATCATGGTCATGTGATGGGCGAACACCAGGAACTTGCACCCCCCCTGCACGAGTGAAAGCAGGAGGGACACACACACAGAGGCACAGGCAGGGAGCACAAACAGACATGCGAGCAGACATGCGAACAGACACATTGTTACGGGAATTCTTATCAAAACAGGAGCCCAACTGATCCCAGTCGCAAGCAAAACATGCTAGCAGACATGCGAACAGACATGCCAACACCAGCAAATCCAACACCATGCGATCACCAGATGATGCAAGTACATTTTATCCCACCTCCAGCCCACATGCCTTGAGGGTCTAGGTACAAGGACCCAAGACCCAAGGCCCTGGGCGTATGGACTCACCTCAAGCATCGTGCCTACTCCCTCATAGCACGATGTGTGCATTCATGGTGATGCCAATTCATACACCCACATGCCCAGCGACCCACCTCCAGCATGGTGTGCAATGTGCATGGTATGCATGGTGTGCGTGAATGGTGTGCGTGCATGGTGTGCATGCATGGTGTGCGTGCATGGTGTGCATGCATGGTGTGCAATGTGCATGGTGTGCAATGTGCATGGTGTGCAATGTGCATGGTGTGCAATGTGCATGGTGTGCGTGCATGGTGTGTGTGCATGGTGTGCGTGCATGGTGTGTGTGCATGGTGTGCGTGCATGGTGTGCATGCATGGTGTGCGTGCATGGTGTGCGTGCATGGTGTGCATGCATGGTGTGCAATGTGCATGGTGTGCAATGTGCATGGTGTGCAATGTGCATGGTGTGCGTGCATGGTGTGTGTGCATGGTGTGCGTGCATGGTGTGCATGCATGGTGTGCAATGTGCATGGTGTGCGTGCATGGTGTGCGTGAATGGTGTGCGTGCATGGTGTGCATGCATGGTGTGCATGCATGGTGTGCATGCATGGTGTGCATGCATGATGGTGCCAATTCATACACCCACATGCCCAGCGACTCACCTCCAGCATCGTCCCCAGGTACTCCCTCACAGCATCCACCTTTGCCTCAGCTGACTCCGTGTACAGCTGCTCGCATGGGGATGAGGGCAGGAAAGGGGAAATGTAACTGCCGTCTCTGAGGGTGGTGAGAGGGCAATGGGGCATGGTCTTTAGGTGCTCCCTCACAGCATCCACCTTCGCCTCTGCTGACTCTGTGTAGAGCTGCTCGCATGGGGGATGGAGGCAATCGAAGGGGTGGGTGGGAATGAGGGATGGAAAGCGGAAATGTGACTCTGAGGGTGGTGAGAGGAGGGTGATGGGGCGTGGCGTGGTCCCCAGGTACTCCCTCACAGCATCCACCTTCGCTTCTGCCGACTCCGTGTACAGCTGCTCATTGGGGGAACAATCAGTCACGAGTGGTGATGGGTCATCCCTCACAGCATTCACATCCACCTTCGCTTCTGCCGACTCCGTGTAGAGCTGCTCGCATGGGAACGGAGGTGATGAAGGAAGGGAAGGGGGAAGGTTCTGCTGCTTCTTGAGAGTGGAGACGGGGCGGCTTTGAGAACTCCCAAAAGCACATTGTCCTTTCCAACCAGGTACTCTCATTGTAATGAGAGTACATTTTGAGACGTCTCAAAACTCTTCTTTTTTTCACGTCCTTTCCCACCAGGTACTCTCATTGTAATCACCTTCCACCTTCCACCAACGCCTCGGGCGTTCTTTAGTAAAGCTGCGGGAACAGGGTGGCAACGAGGGAGGGTGGCAACGAGGGAGGGTGGCAATGTTTGTGTAATTGAATGGACTTGCTCAGTCTTTTGTCTTCTCTCCTTTCTACCAGGGAGTCTATTCTAACTACCAAAATCTTCTCAACTGGCTTCCTGCAATCATATCCGTCCTTAACAGTATAAATATATTTGCCATGCAAGCACCACCCACCCACCTTGGACATCAGCGCCCTGTCCTCCATCACTGCTGCACTCTCCCCCTCTGCAGCAGACGTTAGGCCAACCAGACAGGAAACATATCCCTCTTTCAAGCATTCCCCACTCACCCGGGACACCAGAGCCCTCTCCTCCATGACTGCTTCGCTCTCCTTTTCCGCAGTCGCTGCCGCCCTCTTCTTCTCCCGCACCTTTCTCAGCTGGTTTATGTGTGCGCGGGGGGGTCGTTGTGGGGGGAGAGGGTTTGGGGGAGGAGAGGAAGCAAGGGTAAGTGAAATCTTAAAACGTTTCAGAAGCTCCCCCCCTCCCATCTGCACCCCCTGCAGCCGCCATCTTCTTCTCCCGCACCTTTCTCAGCTGGTTTATGTGTGCGTGGGGGGGTCGTTGTGGGGGGAAGGGTAGGGGATTGACTTATGAGTCTCGAAAGTCCCCACTTGCACCCCCTGCAGCCGCCATCTTCTTCTCCCGCACCTTTCTCAGCTGGTTTATGTGTGCGTGGGGGGAGAGGGTTTGGGGTTTGGGGGAGGGGGAAGAGGACGGATAAGAGGGGTGTTGACTCTTCTCCACCTTGTTTCCCCTATCCTTTGCACCAACTCCCCCCTGCCCTCCCCCACCAACCCACCTGCTTGTGCAGTGCGCGAATGGGCTTCATGGCCTTCTCTCCAGCATGCTTCCCTCTCTTTCCACCTCCCTTTGTACTCAATCCCTCCCTCCCACAACCCACCTGCATATGCAGTGCGCGAATGGGCTTCATGGCCTTCTCCTCCAGCATCAGCAGCACCTGTGGCAGGGGGAGGTGTGGGGGAGGGTGGGGAAGTGGGGGAAGGATGGGGGACGTATGGGGATTCTTAGGTGCCTTAGAGGGCCCTGAAGGGCTTCATGGCCTTCTCCTCAAGCATCAGCAGCGCCTGTGGCATGGCAAGGGAGGGCAGTGGAAAAGGGGTGGCGGGAGGATAGGCGAGGTATGGGGATTATTAGGCGGCTTCATGGCCTTCTTCTCCAGCATCAGCAGCACCTGTGGCCGGGGAGAGGTGGTGGGGGAGGGATGGGGGAGGGATGGGGGAGGGATGGGGAGGGATGGGGAGGGATGGGGGAGGGATGGGGAGGGATGGGGGATGTAATGAGCTTGAGAGTGCGCGGATGGGCTTCGTAGCCTTCTCCTCCAGCATCAGCAGCACCTGCACATGGGGGAGGTGGGGAAGTGGGGAGGGTTGGGGAAGTAATACGTGGTTGAGAGTGGTCACGCGGGTGTCATGTCATGGCCGTCCCTCCCCTCTAGCATCAGCACCACCTGCACAACGAGGAAGACAGGAGATGGGTAGCGGTGGGGCAGGGATGACGGATGGATGGGGGACGGATGAGGGGAGGGATGGGCGAGGGATGGGGGGAGGGATGAGAGGATGGGGGAAGAGTGAAGGCGACGGGGGCGGGAAGTGGGAGAGGGGTGGGTGAGGGGTGGGTGAGGGGTGGGTGAGGGGTGGGGGAGGGGTGGGGGAGGGGTGGGTGAGGGGTGGGTGAGGGGTGGGTGAGGGGTGGGTGAGGGGTGGGTGAGGGGTGGGTGAGGAGTGGGTGAGGGGTGGGTGAGGGGTTAGGACTATGAGGTGCCTACAGGCGAACGTACGTGCTTCATGGCTGTCACCTATCCCTCACCACTCGCAACCACTTAGTCTGTCACAAACACGGACACAGGCACAGGAACAAAACAGGCACTCGCCACTCGTGCAAGAAAACCAGGCTCACCCACCCACACACTCTACCTGCTGTCTTATCTACTATGAAAGTTGCCTGAAAACTAACTTGTCCATAAACATACAAACAATCCCTGCCTGCTATCAGGCAAACAACAAACAATCCCAAGTAGTTTTCACTATGCAGCCCCTACCCACTTACAAAGAAGTTTCTACCAAGTACCCCCGCCCCCCCCAGAAATTAACACCTCACTACCTGCTGTCGTCGCTTGGCTGGCAGTTGTGGCAGCACTTGCTTCTTGAGCCGCCGGATCATGACCGTACCGCTCAGCACCGCATGCAACTCCTCCCGATTGCTAGAGCCTGTGAATTCTCCGAATCTCCCCTGGTGTTGTTGACAAAGACAAATGCAGGGAAGACGACGTAGACACTTACTGTGCATGGAAGCACGCATAGAAGCGAGTATGAATGCAAAAAGAACCAAAGCATGCATGTAACAACACACCCAACACACCCATGAGCAAAATTACTTGGAAATCGAAGGCGACCTGCTGGTACCGCATTGTACCACTCACCCCCTTGATCGGCAGTAACTCTTGCCACTTAATGCAACCTGTTATTACCGCACCCAACCACTCACCCCGCGGCAGTACCTCTTGCCATACTCCCCCAGCTTGTGATAGGCACGCGGCTGAAGCGCCTCCAGCTGAAAGGCATGGATTTATAGGAGGACAGGATGGGGAACAGCGGGGGATGCTTGGACCACTGAAGTGAATGGTGCAGCAAAGATTGAGGCACCTCAGAAGTCACCCCGCAGCAGTACCTATTGCCGTACTCCCCCAGCTTGCGATAAGCAGCGGCTGAAGCGAGGAAAGGAAGGGAGGGGATGGGGCATGGCGGGGAATGTCTTTTTGGCATTCCAGAAAGAAGGGCACGAATGGGGTGACAGGGCACAGCGGATGAATGGAATGCTTGGGCCGCAGGATGAATGGAATGCTTGGGCCGCAGGATGAATGGAATGCTTGAGCCGCAGGATGAATGGAATGCTTGGGCCGCAGGATGAATGGAATGCTTGGGCCGCAGGATGAATGGAATGCTTGGGCCGCAGGATGAATGGAATGCTTGGGCCGCAGGATGAATGGAATGCTTGGGCCGCAGGATGAATGGAATGCTTGGGCCGCAGGATGAATGGAATGCTTGGGCCGCAGGATGAATGGAATGCTTGGGCCGCAGGATGAATGGAATGCTTGGGCTGCAGGATGAATGGAATGCTTGGGCTGCAGGATGAATAGAATGCTTGGGCCGCAGGATGAATGGAATGCTTGGGCCGCAGGATGAATGGAATGCTTGGGCCGCAGGATGAATGGAATGCTTGGGCCGCAGGATGAATGGAATGCTTGGGCCGCAGGATGAATGGGGGGCGAGGAGGGGAGCGGAGATGAGGCAGCGAGGGTTGAGATGGGGCAAGCGAAGGAGAGATGCGAGAATGAGACAGCACACACATATGAGGGAACACAGCAGACACATGCATGTGCAGGGGCTGGGCACAGCAACATATCCAGCTCAGCAACACGTGCCTGCTTAAACAGGTCGATGCATGTGGGCGGACCCAACCCAATGAGTCCATTTCACACGCTCGCATACATACCCGTCACAGCAACCCAGTCCCAGCACCATGTATGTAGCTCACAAGAACATAAGTGGTTCCGCGGCACGTGCCTGCTTGAAGAGGTCGATGGGGCGTGAGAGGGCCGGTGTGCCCGTGCATACCCAACGAGCACATGCTCACACGCATACCCGACACAGGAACACAGCAACAGATATAGCTCACAAGAACGCAGGCAGCTCGGTAACACGTGCCTGCTTGAAGAGGTCGATGGGGCGTGAGAGGGCCGGTGTGCCCGTGAGAAGAATGGCCCTGTTGGCTGCCTGATGTGGGCGGGGTCAAGAGGGTCAACGAGGGTCAATGGGGTGAAAGAGGGTCGATGGGGTGGGACAAGGCAGGAGTGCCGTGCGTAGAATGGCCCGCTTGGCTGGGTGATGGGGGCACGGTCAAGAGGGTCAACGGCAGTCAACGCGGACAATGATGGTCAATGGGGTCAACAACAGCTTCTCGGGTAAATTCAATAACTGCCAATCGTTAAAAGAACAGTTGGGGTCGGGTCGACAAAGTGACGTTTCGAGTCTAACAGGAAGCACAAGCTCCTGCTGTGTCATTTGTGCCCTCAAAAGCTGCTAGAGCCTCACCTGCAATCGTGGAACGGCCAGGTTTGTGCGCTTGGCTTTGTAGTTCTTAAGGTAGTGCGATTCGTCTGCTATCACCACCTGGCAGGAAGGTGCATACATGGGGAAGGGAGGGGGGGTTGGTGTGGGGTGCATGTGATGCACTTGTTGCGCCACAACCAGGCCTGTGCGCTTGGCCTTGTAGTTCTCGAGGTAGTGGGACTCGTCTGCTATCACCACCTGGTGTATGTGCGTGGGAAGGGGGGAGGGTGAATGTGATGCACTTTCGGCACAGCCAGGCTGCTTATTGCACAGCCAGGCCTATGCGCTTGGCCTTGCAGTTCTTGAGGTAGTGCGACTCGTATGCTTTCACCACCTGGTGCGTGCATTCACGTGGAATGGATGGAGGAGGGATGGGATGCTGAATGTTATGTGATGGTATGCTGAATGTTATGTGATGGGATGCTGAATGTTATGTGATGGGATGCTGAATGTTATGTGATGGGATGCTGAATGTTATGTGATGCACTTGTTGGTTCGAGTGCAGTGAGGTGAGCTGGGTGAGTGCGGCAAGAGGGGTGTAGTGCCTCAGCTCACCTTGAACGGCTCATCTGGCTGCTCCAGGCGATCAAGCAGGTCATAGGAGACTATGTTGAAGGGTGATTGCAGTGAGAGGGGCTGGTTGCGAGAGCAGCGGACAAAGTTGAACCCGTTAATGCTGCGAGTGGCGCCCCCCTGAGGCATCACCACCTGACAGGAGGGCAGTACATGGGGTAAGGCATGGGACATGGGGATGCGGGGCATGGGGCAAGGGGTGTGGAACTGAGTGCCAGTGCAGCGGACGAAGTTGAACCCGCTAATGCTGCGAGTGGCACCCCCCTGAGGCATCACCACCTGACAGAAGGCAGCGTAAGGGGTATGGGCGTGGGACATAGGGCATGGGGCACGGTGAATGAGGGGCGTGGGGCTGCATTCAAGACCAGCGGACGAAGTTGAACCCGTTGATGCTGCGAGTGGCGCCGCCCTGAGGCATCACCACCTGACAGGGAGCAGAGGATATGGCATAGGAGGGCATGGCATGGTATGGCATGGATGAGAACGTGTGGCATGCACATGGCACGGCATGGCATGACATGGCATGGCATGGCAGGGCGTGGCATGGCATGGCAGGGCGTGGCATGGCATGGCACGGCAGGGCATGGCACGGCAGGGCATGGCATGGCAGGGCATGGCATGACATGGTATGGCATGGCGTGGCATGGCGTGGCATAGCATGGCATAGCGTGGCATGGCATGGCATGGCATCGCATGACATGGCATGGGTGACATGGTGTGGCATGGCATGGCATGGCTTGCACTTTGCACATGACTCACCGTGATGTCTTCAGGAGGCAGGTCGAGCCACCGCATGATGCTCTGCCATGGTGCAGGGAAGTGGAGTGGGGAAAGGGGGGGGGGGGTGGGGGGGTGGGGGTGGTGGGGTGGGTGGGGGTGGACGGGGGGGGTGGGGGGGGTGGGGGTGGTGGGGGGGATGGGGGAGTGGGGGGGTGGGGGTGGTGGGGGTGGTGGGGGGGTGGGGGGTGGGGGTGGTGGGGGGGGTGAGGGTGGTGGGGGGGGTGGGGGGGTGGGGGGGGGTGGGGGGGTGGGGGTGGTGGGGGGGGTGGGGGGGTGGGGGGAGTGGTGAAGAAGAGAAAGGAGAGGTTAAGCCAGCGCATGATGCTCATGAAGAAGGGAAGTGGAGTGGGGAAAGGGAAGGGCGAGTGAAAAAAAGAAAAGGGACGGGCCCACACGCCTCACCGTGGCCCAGTGCAGGCGCAGAGAGGAAGGGGCAACGACAAGCACGGGCCACTCACCATGACCTATGCCTATGCAGCATTGTCTTCACTAACCTTGCTCTGCACGTTCCCAGTCCACCGACAGGCTGCTCACCATGACCTATGCCCATGCAGCATTGTCGTGCAGACAATGCTGACAGAGCAAGGTGCAGCATTGCCTTCACTAACCTTGCTCTGCACGTTCCCAGTCCACCCACATGCCTCACCATGGCCCAGTGCAGGCGCAGAGAGGAAGGGGCGATGACAAGCACAGGCCACTCGTCCCTGTAGCATGCAGCCAACCCTATGGCCTGCACCGTCTTGTCATGCACCAATCAACCTTACTCTGTTCCAGTGCAAATTCTAGATTAAATCCCAAGGGAATGTCTCACCATGGCCCAGTGCAGGCGCAGAGAGGAGGGGGCGATGACAAGCACGGGCCACTCGTCCCTGTAGGATGCAGCCAGCCCTATTGCCTGCACCGTCTTTCCCAGCCCCATCTCGTCTGCTATCAGCACCCGGCCACCACGCGACAGAGCAAACCTGGCCAAGATAGGGAGAGGGAGTAGGAGGAACAGGCGAGGAACGGAGAGGGAATGGTGTGAGGCAGTGGGACCAACAGCCCAGCCCTATTGCCTGCACCGTCTTTCCCAGCCCCATCTCGTCTGCTATCAACACCCGGCCACCACGCGACAGAGCAAACCTGGCCAAGATAGGGAGAGGGAGTAGGAGGAACAGGCGAGGAACGGAGAGGGCATGGTGTGAGGCAATGGGACCAACAGCCCAGCCCTATTGCCTGCACCGTCTTTCCCAGCCCCATCTCGTCTGCTATCAACACCCGGCCACCACGCGACAGGGCAAACCTGGCCAAGATAGGGAGAGGGAGTAGGAGGAACAGGCGAGGAACGGAGAGGGAATGGTGTGAGGCAGTGGGACCAACAGCCCAGCCCTATTGCCTGCACCGTCTTTCCCAGCCCCATCTCGTCTGCTATCAACACCCGGCCACCACGCGACAGAGCAAACCTGGCCAAGATAGGGAGAGGGAGTAGGAGGAACAGGCGAGGAACGGAGAGGGAATGGTGTGAGGCAGTGGGACCAACAGCCCAGCCCTATTGCCTGCACCGTCTTTCCCAGCCCCATCTCGTCTGCTATCAACACCCGGCCACCACGCGACAGAGCAAACCTGGCCAAGATAGGGAGAGGGAGTAGGAGGAACAGGCGAGGAACGGAGAGGGAATGGTGTGAGGCAGTGGGACCAACAGCCCAGCCCTATTGCCTGCACCGTCTTTCCCAGCCCCACCTCGTCTGCTATCAACACCCGGCCACCACGCGACAGAGCAAACCTGGCCAAGATAGGGAGAGGGAGTAGGAGGAACAGGCGAGGAACGGAGAGGGAATGGTGTGAGGCAGTGGGACCAACAGCCCAGCCCTATTGCCTGCACCGTCTTTCCCAGCCCCATCTCGTCTGCTATCAACACCCGCCTGCCTCTTGATAAAGCAAACCTGGGCAACAGAGGGAGGGGGGGGAGAGAAGAGATGAGAGAATGGTGTGAGTCAGCACTGCCAGCCCTGTTGCCTGCACCGTCTTTCCCAGCCCCATCTCATCTGCTATCAACACTCTGCTGCCACGCAACAGAGCAAACCTGGGCAACAGAGGGAGGGGGAGGAAGAGGAGATGAGAGACTGGTGTGAGTCAGCACTGGCAGCCGTGTTGCCTGCACTGTCTTCCCCAGCACTCTCTCCTCCGCTGTCCGCACTCGCCTGCCACGTGGGAGAGAAAACCTGGGCACGACAGGGGGAAGGAGAGAGGGGTGAATGTTCAACTCACACCGATCGAGTACACTAGTGATTACAAGCGAGCTTTGACCTGTAATCAGCACCCGGCCGCCACGTCAGAACTGGGAGAGGGAGGAGAAGAGAGGAGAGGGGATGGTGGTGTGAGGCAGCAGGACTGGGAGGCCAACACGATGGCCTGCACCGTCTTCCCCAGCACTCTCTCGCCCGCTACCAGCACCCGGCCACCTCCTGAGAGGGCAAACCTCGGAGAGAGGTGAAACGAATTCAAAACAGATTAGAAGCGAAAAAATGGGGAGCCACAGAGAGTAGACAGGTTGGAAGCAGCTTGCATTGTGATGCTGCACTAAAGCCTGAAGGGCTGAACGAGCGACGTCACACTCACTGCATGCCTTGCTCTTGGAAGGGCATCAGAAGCTTCCGAAATCCGTCCGGCAAGTCAAAGTAGCGACCTGTGTGGGAGAAGACCAGTGGGAGGAAGGAAGGATGGGGAGGACCCTTAGCGTGCTGGAGAGGAGTGGTGGTGGCCGGAGCGAGTAGAAGCGGGGATGGTAGTAACTCCAAAATCGTAAGGGACGAGCAATGGGAGGATGGCACAAACGACCTGGAGTTGCCACATGTAGCGAGGTTGTTTTTGAGACGTCTCAAAAATCGTAAGGGACGAGCAATGGGAGGATGGCACAAACGACCTGGAGATGCGTGACTTACCTGAATCGTCTGGTAGCTTGGCTGTCTCCTCCAGTGCTCGCTTCACCACGGCCGGCAACGGCTCCACCTGTGGCGGCAGGGCGTTCGAGAGGACAAGGGGACGCAAGCAAGAGCATTGGCCACAGAGTATGGGTTTCTCTCTCCACAGAGCGGACAAGAGGACGAAAAGGTAACACCCACTCACACTTCCACGTACATCAACCCTCACCACATAGACTGCACTGCACGCATGGATGCACACACACACCCCTCACTTCCAAATCGCATCTCTGCACCGACTGCACAGCTTGGAAGAACGCATCTAGAGAGGAGAGAGGGAACACCCACAGGCTTCTCTTCTTGTCCAGCTCCCTCACCTCACAGATTGCCCTACGGAACTTGAGCATCCACGTTACACAAACTGTCACCTCCGCATCACATGTCGGCACCAAGGAACTCATCCAGGGAGGAGAGAGGAACACCCACAGGCCTTGTTCACTTGCATCACCCCCTCACTTCACAGATTTCACGGCTCCGTCCGTACTCACCTCATGGGTTGCACGGCTGCACACTCACTCACCTCCTAAGTCGCATGGCTCCACACTCACTCACCTCCACATCGCATGTTGGCACCGGTTGCACGGCTTCGAGAAATGCATCGAGGGAGGAGAGAGGGAACAGGACCACCCACACTCCCTTCCACTTGTGCCACTCACTGACCTCGCAGATCACAGCGTGGTACTCTCACTTACACGCCCACCTCTCCACGTCACTCACACCCCTCACCTCCCGAATCGCATGGCTCAGTCCTCACTGACCTCCACATCACAGGTTGGCACCGACTGCACGGCTTCAAGAAATGCATCCAGGGAGGAGAGAGGGAACACCCACAGCCTGCGGCCGGAGCGGGAGGTGGGGAGAGGAGACGAATGGGGGTATAGGGCACTTTGAAACAGTGAGAGAACACGGTACACCCACAAAGACAGTGAGAAAAGTGCAAGGTAGGGAGAGGAAACGAGCCATGTCTCAGACATGCGTGTAGTAGTCAATTTTCGAGTCGACTCAAAAATCGACTTAGATGGCGTTCCCACGTTTGCCCGCCATCAAGTTTTCCCACCAAGTTCACAATTTGGGAAGGATGGTGTCCGAGGTGGGGTGCTGCCCCACTTCGGACACCGTGGTATTTATGACTGACGACCCTGCATATGATCACAAATTCGGCAAAAAAGTTGGCTCCCAATCAGAGAGCGCTCCGAGTTTCGCCATGCTGAAAGGGGATAGTGGTAGGATAATTGTGGTGTATTGACCCAAATTGTTGAGTGCGCTCGAGAGTAGAGTCGACTCCAATTTCGTGCGCTCAGTGTACCAATTTTTTATCCGCTTTCTCCCCAAATTATTTTTTGTAAACCTGCCCGTCTACTGAACTGCACACCGAGCCTTGTGGATGTCGTCGCCAGCTGTTGGATTGAGTTACCAGTTGACCTCGAAACTAGATCGTACGGTTCGAATTGGTGGTTTACTGGTGTCCAGACTTGGAACCGCGATTCTCCACATTTTACAACATTTGACGAAATTGCGAGCCGCGTGGGCGAACTTTGATGGCGGGCAAACGTGGGGACGCCACCTTACTACATGTCTCAGACCAGGTCCTACATCCTTCTTCACATCAGCTCGTCTCATATTTCTCTTTTACCACATCTTATCTCACCCTTCCCCACCCCCGCTGAGCATCTCACTCACGAACGACGCCTCGTAGCACGTCTCACTTGCCTTCACTCGTACCACTGCAGACAGACAAGACAACACAGCTCACCGCCTGTCCTTCTGCCAGACAGAACAAGGGTGTGTGTCACCGCTTGCTCTCCATGAGCGCCAAACGATCCTGTGCTAGACGGCCGTGGCACGTTGATGGTTCTCCACCCTCCTATTCAGGTGCGCCTCTCACCGGCACGGCAGACACGACAAAGGCTCACCGCTTGTCCTGCTGCCAGATGGAGCAAGGGCGTGTGTCACCGCTTGCTCTTCATGGGCGCCAAAAGATCCTGTGCTAGACGGCCGTGGCACGTTGATGGTTCTCCACCCTCCTATTCAGGTGTGCCTCTCACCGGCACGGCAGACACGACAAAGGCTCACCGCTTGTCCTGCTGCCAGATGGAGCAAGGGCGTGTGTCACCGCTTGCTCTTCATGGGCGCCAAAAGATCCTGTGCTAGACGGCCGTGGCACGTTGATGGTTCTCCACCCTCCTATTCAGGTGCGCCTCTCACCTGCACGGCAGACGCGACAATTGCTCACCGCTTGTCCTGCTGCCAGATGGAGCGAGGGAAGCTCCGCTCCTCAAGGGCGCAACGAGATCCTGTGACGTTGCGCGTCTTCCCCCTTTTGAGTCGACTCAAAAGTCAAGGGGCGCTCCTCATGGGCGCAACGAGATCCTGTGACGTTGCACGTCTTCCCCCTCCCCTCTGCGCCTCTAATCCCTTCCCTTTGCGCCTCTAAACCCTCTATCGAAGCACAGCCCAGTGCTCACCGCTTGTCCTGGTCCCAGATGGAGCAAGGGACGCTCCTCATGGGCGCCACGAGGTCCTGTGGGTGAGGGAGTAGCAGAGAGCGAGAGAGTGAGGGGGGATACGGAGGGTGCGGGCAGGTTAGGGACGAGGCGTTGGGGGCTTGCTGCGCTGCCAGATGGAGCAAGGGACGCTCCTCCTCATGGGCGCCACGAGGTCCTGTGGGTGAGGGAGTAGCAGAGAGAGAGAGTGAGGGGGGATACGGAGGGTGCGGGCAGGTTAGGGACGGGGGGGCGTTGGGGGGTTGCTGCGCTGCCAGATGGAGCAAGGGACGCTCCTCCTCATGGGCGCCACGAGATCCTGTGGTTGGGGGAGCCGAAAACAAATGAGAGCGGATATGGCGTGGACAGGGAAGGGAAGGAAGCTGCGGGCTCGTCGTGCGTGCTCCTAGATGGAGCAAGTGACGCTCCTCATGGGCGCCACGAGATCCTGTGGGTGGGGGAGCCGAAAACAAATGAGAGCGGATATGGCGTGGACAGGGAAGGGAAGGAAGCTGCGGGCTCGTCGTGCGTGCTCCTAGATGGAGCAAGTGACGCTCCTCATGGGCGCCACGAGATCCTGTGCGAGGCGGAGTACGGCGTGTAGGATGGTGTGTGAAGCAGCACCTCTTGAGGCACCTCAAAAGCAGCACCTGGTGGAAGACAAAGGATGCAGCCACTCGGCCGTTGGAGGATGGCAGCAGGCGGATCCTTCGACACTGCTGCTGCTGCTGCTGCTGCTGCTGCTGGTTCTGTTGCTGATGTTGCTGAGGTTGCTGCTGCTGTTGCTGAGGTTGTTGTTGCTGCTGCTGCTGGTTCTGTTGCTGATGTCGCTGCTGTATCTTCTGAATCTGCTGCTGCTGCTGCTGCATCAACTGCCGCTTCGTCTGTTCCCCCCCCATCTGATTATCCTCCATCAGCGGCTGTTCTTCATGCCGTGAAAGCCGCAGCCATAGCTGGTCAGAAGACGGCACTACCGGCGATGATGGAAGCACGGAGGGAAGAGCACTCAGGCTGGAATCGGAACCAGTGCTGCCGCTGCAGATGCCTACCCCACCACTGTCACGCATGTCCCCCTCTTTGGCTAGCGTGTCTCTCGCTCCACCTGTTGCAACAAACGCACAAACACCCTCCTCTCCACCTGCTGCTATGAATCCACTCCCTGGCAAGTCACTAGAGGTGCCACTGCCATCACCACACGTGGAAAGGGAAGGCATGACGTCTGTGCTGCCACCACCAACAGCACCGCTGGCATGTATACTTCCGGAATGTGTACTGTTCCCGTTCATACAGCTCAAATCTCCTCGTAGCCGCTTTCTTGCATGTTCCTCCTCTTCCTTATCCGCCTCCCCCTCTATACTGCCCCAAGCAGTTTGTGACAGTAACGAGGGAGGATCGGCAACTATCTGCATGGATGGAAGACAAGAGGTGCAGGGCCACACACACAAGGGATGAGACAACTTTTGAGGCGCCTCAGAAGTAGTAACGAGGGAGGATCGGCAACTATCTGCATGGATGGAAGACAAGAGGTGCAGTGCAGGGCCACACAGGATAGTGGGAGGATAATGTCACATCTGGTAAAAATCTGCTCACAACAGGAAATCATGATACATTAGCATGCAAGCACATTGAGATGAAACTGACTGACACACACACATGCGGTTGCTTTTCCTTTTCCTTGTAAGCCACACTAGCCAGGCGGCAGCACCAGCATCACCAATCTGCACTGCAAGCAATGCAAGCACACTGCAGCAATGTGCAACAGCAGCTAAGCAGTGTTACCGAGTGCGCATGGTTACCGCAATGCACCTGAATAGGAACGTCAGTGATGCATGCGAGCGCTGCTACCACCTCATCCGCCATGTGGAATGGGTACTTCCACTGCCTGCAGAGGACGACGAGGAAGAGAAGAAGAGGGAATAACGAGAAACGTTTCCCTTAAAGAGCCGCTTAAGTCGCTGCAACCACCTCATCCGCCATGTGGAATGGGTACTTCCACTGCCTGCATGACATGCCAAGGAAGAGGCGAAGAGGAGGGAATAACGAGAAAGATTTCCCTTAAAGCGCCTCTTATGTCACTGCAACCACCTCATCCGCCATGTGGAATGGGTACTTCCACTGCCTGCATGATGTGGCTGGAATGGAAGAGAAGAGAGGGAGGTTCAATGCTCCATGATGGTGCCAAACAAGTAGTTGCAAGCAACTACCACCTCATCCGCCATGTGGAATGGGTACTTCCACTGCCTGCAAGGCAATCCATCCAAGGAAGAGAGGCGAAGCAGGGACAGGGACACTGCTTCTTAAATAGGCCTAGTAAGTAGCTGCAAGCAACCACCTCATCTGTGTGAGAAGGGTACTTCCGCTGCCTGCGTGGGAAGACACAGAAGGGAAGGGAGAGAACAGCGTTGGACATTCCATTTCATGACGAGCATGCGGTGACAAAGTACTCATGTCTGTACATGCATGATGCCCAATTCGCACGTGCATCAGATCATCACATGCCCAATCCAATCATGCATACGCACGAGCGCTGCTGACAAGCTCGACTAAAGCACGCACCTGCCCAGCACGACAAGCATGCGGCGACAAAGTACTCGTGTCTGTACGTGCATGATGCATCAGATAATCACCTGCCCAATCATGCATCCTCCTCAGTCAATCAGAGACCATCCCGTCTGTCCTCAACGCACATCCATGACGAGCGCTGCCGACCAACACGAATCACTTAACCACACACCTGCTCGCTCCCATCTCCCTTCAGCTTCTGCCGCCTCCCAAATATCCCACCCCCCCGGTCCGACCATCTATTTCACTCACCTGCTCCCCTCTACATAGCCCACCCACCTGATCACACTGTTCTAAAGGCGCCCTGGAGTGGACTATCACACCTCTTTCACCGCCTTTTGGGGCGTCGCAGAACTCACCATCTTCCCCCTCCCACCCACCCACCTTGCCCGTCCACCTCATCTCACCTCACCTTCTCCCTTCCCCACACACCCACCCACCTGGACATTCTATCCCAGACGCGCCCTGAAACGGACTTGCACACATCCTTCACCACCTGGGTGGTGGGAGAAAAATCACCTGCTCCCCTCACCATAACCACCCACCTGTTCCCCTCTCCACCCACCCATCTGTTCTGCTCTGCTCTCACCCACCTGGACACTCTATCATAGAAGCGCCCTGGAATGGACTTGCACACGTCCTTCACCACCTGCGCAACACACGGGCATCAAGGAGAGGTTTTCCTTTTTTTTTTTTCAATGGTGACTTTTGAGGGAAATATTGAGTCGGATTCAAAAGCCAAATCGCGCTGGAATGGACTTGCGCATGCCCTTCACCACCTGCGCAACGCAGGAGCGGTGGTTAGAGGAAAAGCAGAGGCGAGGGGTGCAGCAAGGGGAGAATGAGTGGGAACACACAGGAAGAACACAGCCGTGCTCAGTCATCGCAGCAGGAAGGCTGGGGCCCTCTTGCACCTTCACATGCTGTGCACAGCACAGAAAAGCAGTAAGCAGCATCAATTACCGCCACAGGACTACACTTCAAACATCGTGGATATTGCAAGCGCCTAAAAACACGGCATGCAGTCAGTACAGTATGCGCACTCACTGTCGTGATTACACACAGGCATCAATCACCTTATTATAACGCACCAGCTTCACTCACCAAGCCAATGCTCGAACAAGCAAGCACCTCGGTCGCTCGCATCGTTATGAGGCACCAGCATTCACTGTCACCTCGTTATAAGCCACTAGCTTCACTCACCTCGTTATAAGGCACCAGCTTCACAGCCAACAGTCCATCCGCGGCCCTCGTTATTACCACCTGCACCTGCTCCGGTGCTTGACCCAACTCCAGAGAAACCTTCTCAGCAGCTTCCATGCCAGCGAGCTCCTGGGATGGTGCCTGTGGAGTGCTGCTGCGCTGGCTGCAGGACTGCAGTGTGTAGCCCGGTGAATGCGGCACGTGGGATGGTGCGCCAGTGAGCTGCTGGGATGGTGCCTGTGGCGTGCTGCTGCTGCGCTGGCTGCAGGGTAGCAGTGCGTGGCCCGGTGAATGCGGCACGTGGGATGGCACGCCAGTGAGCTGCTGGGAGGATGCCTGTGGCGTGGTGCTGCTGCGCTGGCTGCACGGCTGCAGTGTGTAGCCTGGTGAATGCGACACGTGGGACGGCGGACTTGGCATGTTCGATTTCGGATTTGGGATGTGAGATGACGCATTAACGCTGCCTCCTGGAACAGCAGATGGCAATTCAGCAGGTGCCTCCACCTGAGAAGAAGGGGGTGGAAGGAGCAGACAGCGGGTAAGAGCACTGGCACTTCACAACATGCAGAGAAACCTTCTCAGTAGCTTCCATGCCAGAGAGCTGCTGGGAGGATGCCTGCGGCGTGCTGCAGCAGTCGCTGCAGGGCTGCAGTGTGTAGCCCAGTGAATGCGGCGCGTGGGACGGCGGAGTTGGCATGTTCGATCTCAAATTTGGTATGTGGGATGGGGCATCAGTGCCGGCCACTGGCATGTCACATGGAAGTGCGGCATGCACTGACTGCTGTGGTAACACAGCCATAGCCTCCACCTGAGAAGACGGGTGTGGACGAAGGGGCACAGGGGGAGTAAGAGAACTGGCGTGTCACACGGCAGTGCGCGGTATGTGGTGAGTGCGGCAACGGAGTCACTGCTTCCACCTGAGAAGACGGGTGTGGTGGACGAAGGAGCACAGGGTGCGTAAGATAACTGGCATGTCACATGGCAGTGCGGCATGTGTTGAGTGAGGCAACGGAGTCACTGCCTCCACCTGAGGAGGTGGGTGTGGACGGAGGGGCACAGGGGGAATAAGATAACCACCAAGCCACCTGGCAGTGCGCGGTATGTGGTGAGTGCGGCAACGGAGTCACTGCCTCCACCTGAGCAAGTAAGATGGGGTGGAAGCAGCAAGGAGCAAGGAAGAAGGCGGTGGGTTTAAGAATAGCTGAAGTGGGAAGTCAAAATGGATCGGACGGCACATAGATACTGCACAGCACACTGGCATGGCACATGGTAGTGAGGAGGCATGTGTTGAGTGCGGCATGTGTTGAGTGCGGCAACAGGGTCACTGCCTCTGCCTGAGATGATGGGAGGGAAGGAACACGGAGGAGGAGCGAAAAGACAATGTGCAAGAGGAACTCAGAAAACACTAGCACTCCTATGCACATGGGGTAGGGCCCTCAGTGCTCGTTCCACGTCTTTTAAGCGCCTCAAAACTCAAAAAATGCACTCACACAACACTAGCATAGCACTCACATGCACATGGGGTAGGGCCCTCAGGACTCGTCAGCATCTACGGCGATGGGGAAGGTCCAGACTCGGTCTCTCTTATCCCACCGCCGGTCAGGCAGCAACCGGCCGGCACAGCTATTTCACTTCTTTCTAACGATGAGAGTGATGGGATGGGAACTCACATGCACATGGGGTAGGGCCCTCAGAGCGCGTTCCACATCAGCAGCTATGGCAACGGGGAAGGTCCAGACTCGGTTGCGCTTATCCCACCGCCGGTCAGGCACCGACTGGCACAGCTGCTTGACTTCCTGTTGATGAGCGTAGGGGCATGGGTGGGGAGGGAGTGAGCATGTGGAGGAAGGTCCTTGAGTCGACTCAAAGCTCGTTCCACGTCAGCAGCTATGGCGATTGGAAAGGACCAGACTCGGCTGCGCTTATCCCACCGCCGGTCAGGCAGCGACTGGCACAGCTGCTTGACTTCCTGTTGATGAGCGTGAGGGGAAGGGGTGGGGTTGTAAGACTTAAGGGGTGCCTCAAAAAGCAGCAACCGACACGCCTGTGTGATTTCCTGACCATGGAGATGAGCGTGAGGTGAGAGCATGAGAGCATGGGTGGGGAGGGAGTGAGCATGTTGGGGGAAGAAATGAGCAAGTGGGAGAGGGGAAGTGCGCGTGTTGGAGGGAGTAGGGTTGCGGGAGGTAGTGGGCATGTGGGGATACTGGGTCCTTAGAAGCCTCAAAAACGCATGCGGTCGCCCACTGCTGCAATGGCCACCCACAGGGTAACAGTCATGAAGCGTGGAAACCCGTGCAATGCATTCACTTCACTTGATTCAGTGCACATGCACGATGACTGCCACAAGGTGACTTCTGAGTCGACTCAAAAGTCACATCACTTCTCTTGACTCAGTGCTGCAGATGCACGATGACTACCACAAGAACCGATCGACATGATGGAACGCATCATAATATAACGCATCATGACGGAACGCATCATGACGGAACGCATCATGATGGAACGCATCATGGTGGAACGCATCATGATGGAACGCATCATGACGGAACGCATCATGATGGAACGCATCATGATGGAACGCATCATGACGGAATGCATCATGATGGAACGCATCATGATGGAACGCATCATGATGGAATGCATCATGATGGAACGCACCATGACGGAACGCATCATGACGGAACGCATCATGACGGAACGCATCATGATGGATCGCATCATTATGGAACGCATCATGATGGAACGCATCATATTAGAACGCATCATGATGGAGCGCATCATGATGGAGCGCATCATGATGGAGCGCATCATGATGGAACGCATCATGATGGAATGCATCAACAACAAGCAACAGCACGTATTGAACCTTTGATACCTAACTGGTGTTCAATCCCGCTGGACCCATATGTAGACGCTTTTGGTCACGACAATAACAACAATCCGGAGAGCAACAGCAAGTCTTTGAACCCATGTCAATCAACTGGTGTTCTGTGGACTCAACTTTGGACACCTTAGGACTACAATGGTATCAGCAACCCACAGAAAGCAACAGCACGTAATGAAGTTATGATACCTAACTGGTGATCCATGAAATTTAATTGGGAAACGGATGGTAACAACAACCGGGATAGCAACACTCGGTGCTTCTGTCCTGCATCTGGAGTCCCGTCTATTGTGTACCTCGTTATAAGGGATCGTCTGTGCCGCGACGCGCTCATCCTGCAGGCTCAGAATGACGCGCGTGGTGCACCCATCTGGCGGCGGCTGGTATTGCGGACGCGGCTGGCGTTGCGGACGCGGCTGGCGTTGCGGACGCGGCTGGCGTTCCTGACGCGGCATGGCTCACGACTGGTTGGGCGAATGGTTACCACAAACGGATGGCTCAAGAATGGTTACGCGAATGGCTACCACATGGTTACATGGGTGGTCCAAATGGTAACGCGTAATTCAAAAAGGAAGAGTCGTAAGAGTCGGCTACGCCCTATGCCTGGTGCTGCAGGTTGCTGCCGCGATCCTGCTGGAGCTTGCTTCGCACGTCGATTCTGCGTCCTCCGTGGCTCGCTGCTGCAGCGACGACTGACTACGAACGGGTTACGAGCGGGTTACCAGACGGCAACGAGAGGACGAAGCTGAGTCGCCGAAGCTACGGAAGGCACAGAGAAGGTTTTAGAGCTCGGGTGACTGTTGGCTGGCTAGAACGGCTACGTGCTGGCTAAGAACAGCACCTGTTTACAGCAGTCGCTAATACAAACTGCATCTTGATAGCATGCGGCTTCGTTTGTCCCTTAAAAGGTTTGGTGTAACGATGAAAATGGAAATTAGTTGGGACAGTTGGTAGAGCCTGTCGCTCTCAAAAACTACGTAATCTAGTGTCCCTCCCTAGCCAAAATACGACGCTAGGAATGCCGACATGCTGCTCATGCAGACACCTTGAGTGCTAGTGAGAGGCGTTTCGTTTCCAACTTGAATTTGAAGATAGAAGCCTCCATAGTGCAAGGTGAGTGACTGAAACGAGGACTAGGCAACAGTTACTTTCGACATTCCCGCGGCATATTTTTGGCGCGAAACAGAGTTCAGTGTCTTGATTCTGACGAGAAATCGATAAGAGCGGGACTGCTAGTGCTATGAAAGGAAAAAATATACACAAGAAACTAGTTCAACGGTACACCAGTCAAATAAGAAACATGATGAGATGGTAGCTTAGTTCAATTTCAAGAAATAACGCTTCCATATTTATGAGCTCTTCTCCAGCCTTAGCCTTACTCCCCATGCCCTTGGATTTCTCCGTTTTCTTGCTGGTGCTCCCCTTGGTGGCAGCAGCTGCCACGCTAACATTTCCTTGTCGAATATAAGTGCAGTAGTACACTATCTGTGCAAAGATGGTGCCATGTGATAGCACGTCCAAAATGCTCCCAATGGCCATTGCGAATTACGGTAGGGAAATTTGTCAGAATCCCAACCACTAGACCATTGGGATAAAAGGGCTTGTTAAGTAGCGGATCAGTGCGCCCATACCCCCCCAGGCCAACATGCATGTAACCCTTCCCTAGGATCAATCGGGGATCACCAGTGGACCTCTGACAAAATTTTTGGAAGGTTTGAGTAAAAATGATTACACAGAGTTTATACATGGGTAAGATATGGGAGGCTTATATTGGATTGGCAAAGGAGGGGGGGGAAGGGGCTGGGGAGTGGTGGAGGGGACAAGGAGGGTTCTGGCAGAAAAGAGTGTGAGAAGCAAGCTATTGGGCAGAGCACAGTATTGAGAGAAAATGAAGAGCTAATAAGTCTGTAAGTGAGAGGCGAATGTAAGGGGAGGCTTGCTGCTAAGCAGATGCTCGGTGTTACTTACTACTGAGAGGGGCTTTTTCCTGAATGGACGTGAACAGACGGGCTGCGGCATGGGCAGGACAAAGAAAGCCACAGATGGGACAAAACACTGACGAGTAAGGCGACAAGGCAAAGAAATGCCAATATAGCATAGCCCGATATGGACGACATGGCATGGGCATGACATGACACAGCAGGACACAGCATGAGATGAAGCCAGCATGCGACAGCTGATACCGGCATGCAGCACATGGATAAAACAACATGCAGTAAAGAAAACCACACATGCATGTATATGGATTTTATGGCTGGTATGGGCACTAGGCATGCTCGATGCTCAATGCACAGCATGTAGTTACTCCACATCTCATCCCAGGGATGTGTTTCCGACAGTTGCCTCCAAAATTGGAGTCGACTTGAATAAAGGATATTGGGTGATTGGTGTCAAATCAGAAGTAAGTGCTGAATGAATGCTCACCACCCAGTTACTTCACATCTGGGAAATGAGTTTCTTGAGTTGACTCAGGGACTCAAGCCAGCTCACAAATTGAGTAGACTCTGAATCCAATGCTAAATGCCCACCGCATAGTTACTCCATATCTGAGGGATGCGTCCAATGGTGAACAGAGCCGTTTGGGCGTTCTGAATGTCACAGAGAGGTTGAGTGGGATGAGATGGGATGGGAAGCAAAAGCTAGATTAGGTTTGCATGCAATATCGGGGTGGCATTGACTGGGATGCAACCATGGACCCCAGTTTATGGTCGGAGGATGAATAAGAACATGTGAGTAGAGTAATGCGATTGGTACATGGGGTACGGGCACATGATGGACGAGGAGTGGAGAGGTGTGGAGTGAAGTGGAGTGGAGTGCACGTGCGTGAGTGACGTGACACAATGCATGGCTGACGGATAGTGCAGAAAGGTGTGCTGATGGGGAAGGGCAACTGCAGCATGTTTGACAAAATTAGTGCTGAAGAGTACTAACATGACTGGAAACAAAATTAGTCAGTTGGGGAAGAAAATGAAAGAACAGATTAGGGGCCCATCCACTCTCATCAGAAAGATGGTCTTGTAGAGTGGAGCCCATTGTTCCAATTTTTGTATGAGTTATTTTTTTTTTTTTTTACTGAAAAAAAATGGCAGCCAATAAGGCAGCCCAATCACGAATATTTTCTCATACCGGTGTGCGTTCATGGCTCCTGAGAACAGCACTGGTACCAAGGCAGGGTAGCTATTAAGGAGAAGGCAGAGCACGAAGAGGTGTCAACGCGAAGGATGAAAAGTGGGGAGAGGGGGGAAGAAGAGGGTGCTGGAAGGGGCGTGAGATAGCGGTGGAAGGGGACAGGGGAGAGGAGATTGTTATGCAACTTCATAGCGGAGAGAGCAGGGACTCACATGCCCACTTGGACCTGTGAGGTGACTTGGTCAGGGGAACGGCCCTAAAACCCACATGCAAATGGGCGGGAGAGACACACATTCCCCAATACATGCGCCGTAGGACGACATGCCACTAACATGCCCAAACACATGCCCTAACACATTGTTGGGTGCAAATATTTATTTTTGCACGTCAACAACCCGCCTGCGTCGC